ACCTGTAGTTACCATTTATGATATAATTAATTCGACCAAACATTGACCTATAAAAAAAAAAATAACGTGAGAAGGTTAGGGGGCCGATAAACAGCTAAGGTCTCGCCGACCCTCTGCGTGTTTTTACTTATTTTTCGGGTCTTTCACGCATATCTTTCACTCTGCAGCCATTTCAGCATCTCAATCTGTTGCTGACTTTGTTTTTATGTGAAAATTAAGTCGTTAAAATTAAGTTAAATTAAGTGAAAAACCTAAAATGCTAGCCTCTTCTTTGTACTTCAGGTTGTCAACTATAGAATATAATAATAAATAAATAATCAAAAGAAATAAAATAATACAACACAATAATACAACAATAAATAAATAAAATAATATAACACATAGATACATCACCAAAAACATAGAATTCTGATCATATCCACTCCCCCAGAGTAATCTATATTCCTCGGGCGGGGTTAATCGGCCTCTTCCTTCCATGATAATAAATAAATTCATTCTAATAAAGTAATACAAACTCAACACCCGATACAAACATAGAAAACTGGCACATTCTCTTCTAGAGTAGTCGATATTCCTTGGGTGGGGTTAAAAAAACATTCATTTCACTCTAATAAAATCGACAATATTCGTATTAATCGTTGTGGATGAAAAATGTGTTAAAATAAACCAAATTAATAATTGGAGAAAAACGTCATGTCAAAATAATTTTAGTAGCGTAAGACCAGAAAAGAGGTCAGGCAAAATTGAAATCATGCCACAAAAAATAAAAACATTTAAAGAATAAGGTATTTTACGTTTTTTCTTAAAACCTACGGGATTTACGAGCTTAATTTTTATTCCAATTGACCCTTCAAGTCGAAAAAAAATATGAAAAAAAATTTTTCTGGAAAACTACATGGTTTACGAGCAATAATTCTTATTCCAATCGATTCAGCAAGTCATTTTACATTTCTTCATTAAAAAAATTTCAATTTTTTCGGATTTTTACGTTTTTTTCGAAAACTAGGTGGTTTACAAGCATAATTCATATGCCAACCGACCCAGCTGAACAACGGGCACCTTATTTTTAGTGAAGCTTCGTAAAAAGGTATACACATCTTAAGTAAGTAATCAGTTTTTCATTTACTAAAAATTATAAATCATAAATTGATAATTAAAATTAATTTATAATGTTTTAGTAATAAATACATTAATAGAATACATTTGATTATTTTTGAACTCATTTATTGAATGAATTACATTTATCTACTTACATCATATGTTGCCTAAATCTAAATATGATCATGACGGAAGTCCTCTGTGCTTAAACTATTTATTTAAAATGTATATCCTTTATACAACTTAGTTCAGATAATAGACTAAATCATGAGTAGTATACCAATCACAACACCTCACTCTCACTCTCTCACTCTCTCTCTCTCTCTCTCTCTCTCTCTCACCCACTCTCTCTCACTCTCCCTCTCTCACTCCCACTCTCTCTCACTTTCTTTCTCTCTCTCTTCCTGTTTTTTCTAGAAAAGAGATTCATTATGCGTTCGACTGATAAAATGTTCCAATCAAATACCAATTAGCCTTTATCAGAGCTAAACTTAAGCTGTTTAACTGTAATAAATTATTTATTCTTTAAATATATTATAATTTAAAGAATACGTATGGATGGGCTTCCAATCGAATGCGGGCATATCACAGTAAAGGTATCATAGAAGAATGTATCTTTAATTTATATTACAATAACTCCATCAGGGAACTGAATTTTCACGTTATATATGCGTTAGTGCGAATGTTCCCATTTCTTTATTCTTGTTCAATACACACTGCAGATATTCCTACACATTTTATCATTTCAACGCATACATTTGTTGATGATATAGCGATTCTTACACGTAACTCAGACCCCGCCATCAACGCTTACAACAACACCTGAATTAATTGGCAGTATGGTTCACAAACTGGAGAATCAAAGTAAACCTAAAAAAGGGTAAAGATAAATTTTAGCTCGTTTAAAAGTATCTGTCCCCCCAGTGGGCATAAATGGAACCCCATTGCCAGCCACTGGCCTTGTTCGTTATCTTTGAAGCTTCGTGAATGGACGACTGACTTCAAATCCCCACACGACTGAAAAGCCAAGATAATTAACCGACATTATACATTTCTAAAAGCGCTACTTGATTCACGATAAAAATTAGACATTGAAGAGAAACTTTTAATTTGCAAGACAAGACCTCGTTAGGCTTTCGGTTGTGAGGTGTGGGGCTCAACCAATGATTCCAATCCTCAACCGCTCCAATCTTCTCCGTCAAATTATAAATGCTCCTTTTTTAAATGATTTAATTAAAGTTTTAAATAATACTATTCATATCACACCCCGTTTGTACCCGACCTCTTCAAAACCAGCTATAAAAAATTTCATCAATCACTGAGCATCCATAATAATCCACTAGCACACAGTTATCTCATTCCAGTCCTACCAGAAAATATCCCAATGCGATTGAAGCGGAAATGGCCCTGAGACCCTCTCAGTGAGTGCCTTTTTTTAATTATTATTTATTTTTATTACAATCTGTAATTATTATTTACAATATGTAATTTGCGGATACATGAACTTATGTACAACTATTTACATTGAGGGGAGAAAATAATCAATGTTATCCTGCCTCTTCACTTTGTGTATGTTTTTTTACAGTTTACTCGGAAAGGAGGTCGCGGGGCCTTTCCTCTTAAGACGCCTTATGGGGTTGTAGGGATGGGTTCTATCGGACAGGGCTTGGGCAAGACTATTTGGATGGTGGGAGAGTTTTTTGTGAAAGTTGATAAATTTTTGGGGAATAAATTTTTGGATATAAGGAATTTGAAGGTCGTTGTGGAAGGTAGCATTTGAGACATAATAAGGAGCATTTACAATGGATCTGAGGACTTTAGATTGAAAGGATTGGAGACGTTGGATATTGGAAGGTTTAGCGGTTCCCCACAGTTCTATTCTGTATGTCCAAATCAGTTGTAGTAGTGTTTTGTAAATTGTAAACTTGTTTTTTGTCGATAGGTTAGACTGTCGTCCTATAAGTCTGTGCAGTAGACCATACCGTCTGTTTAGGTTTTGTCGTGTCAGTCGTGTATGTTGATTCCACGTTAGTCGTGAGTCTAGGTGGAACCCAAGGTAGCGAACGCAGTCGGATTTGGGGATAGGAACGTTGTTGTAGTATATCGTGAGAGGAGGTTTGCTTCGGAGTGTAAATGTGAGATGGACGCTCTTGCTTTCGTTTATCTTAATTTTCCATTGTCTACGCTAATCTGCTATACATGAGATATGTTCCTGCAGATCTTCCGAAGCAACCGCAGGATCGGAATTGGAGGATAGTACAGCTATATCATTGACGAAGGTTCAAGTAGGGTGGTTGGTTTAGAGGGAATATCTGCAGTATAAAGGATGTAGAGGATTGGTCCGATCACACTGCCCTGCGATACTCCCGCAGCCAGAGAGCAGTATTCGGAGTAATCTGATCCTGGTCGGACCCGAAAGAACCGCTCTGTTAGATAAGAGTGGAGAATTAGGTAAAGAGTATTTGGAAGGACACGCTTTAATTTGTACAGGAGTCCCCTGTGCCACACGCGGTCAAACGCTTGTGTCGTATCAAGGAAAGCTCCCATACAATATTCTTTGCGCTCGAGGGAGGAGGATATACGGTCAACAACGCGAAACACCTGCTGGACTGTGGAATGGTGGGGGCGGAAGCCAAACTGATGATCGGGGAGGAGGTTAGACTTTAATTGTCGCAATAGCCGTTTAAGGAGAATTTTTTCAAATAATTTGGACATGATGGGAAATAAACTAATTGATCGATAAGATGAGGATTTTTGAGCTGGTTTGCCAGGTTTCAGGAAGAGGATAATGTTGGAATATTTCCAAAGTAAGGGAAAATGGGTAGTGCGGAGTATACAATTGTAGAGGTATGTGAGGAATATAATGCCTTTTTTAGGGAGTTGTTGGAGAATTTGGGATGTTATCAGGTCAAAACCAGGAGCTTTGCGGTTCGGTAAACGAGACAGGATATACTTGACTTCGGCGGGAGTGACGGCTTTCGGAGTGAGTTAGTGAGTGACTAATGACGATGTTTCAGTGTGATAGAATTTGTCAGTGGGCAATTTCTCCTACAATTGTCAAAGTCGTCACAATCAGCGTATAATGGACCTATTTACTTAATACAATATTTGAAGTTGTCAATATTAAATAAACGTAATAACAAAATTCTTGGCAGCGTTTTTACTTTATTTTCTTATACGTTCTCATTGCCTTCGCATACTAATAATTGGTTATCTACAAAACCAGAACTTATTTTGCACATATTTTTGGCAAGTCGTCGAGATATAACATCTATAATTTTTGTCGAGGACATGCCCTCATCTATACCAACACATACTATTTATTACCTAAACGTGAGCTACCATGGAACTGTATATTCCCCCCTTCAGTATTTGCATAAAAAATACAACCTGCATACTTACAGAATCATCATCAATTTTGCTAATAAATACAATTTCTCATTATTTACTTATTCATAACATACATTTTGTACTATTTACAATTAAATATACCGGAATACTCAATATTACGCTAGTGGCCACTCCTCATTACTAATACATTATTCCATTACGCTTTTGTTAATGTTGTACCTTCGAATAATATTGTCTTTAGAATTTTTCAGCAATTGTTGCAAATTTTCATGCTTGTTATGTTTGTTACTAGATTTATGGAATTAAATACGGTCGTGGGTTCGATCCCCACCGTCGCCCTTGGACTTTTTCTGACGCCTAAGGGGAACGGTGGCCGCAATTGAAAGAAATTGACACGGCACTCATCAATGGAAGGAGCAGGATCAGATCTCAGCGACCCTGAATTTGGTGGGGGTCAAATTCACACTTGTGTTGCGAGCCCCAAAAAAAGTGGAGCCAGGGATAAAGTACAACAAGCTGTAGAGCTGCAGTGCTCAGGAGGGAACTCCTTTAGTTCCTGGTATCCATTATAAAAAAAATGGAATTAAAGAAAGGTAACAGACTAGTCAAATACTGTAGTCGTAATAATAGAATAACTTGTTAGAAGGAAAGATTTGCATTTTTATTACTTACTTTCATAAATTGTATTTTTGAATATCCAAAATTATATATTGTCACATTAACATATAGTTCATATTAAATCTGATCTATCTAGACGCAGTTTAAAACCGGTTTACGAAAATTTGTTATTTCTGTTCGTTTCTTGTTATTTATTCTACTAAAACGTGTGAAAGGGAAATTTTTTTTAAACTCTCCGATCTTGCTGAAACTCGTACAACTCAAAAATGACCGAGGAAAAACAAGAGAGGAGTGTGATATTGGTACTTTGTTTGAACATGATTTTGACAAAAGGTTTTTGAGAGAAAAAGTGTCAAGTCCGACAATTACTATCAAGGACGCGAAAAAACTGTCGGATAGGCAAACTGCAGTCGCGGACACACCAATCCCTACAGACAGTAGTCAAGTCTCAATTATTAGTGGATAAATTTTCTGAAATTGAGGGAGCCAAGAAAATTAATAGCGGGACAGCTAACACAAATACAATTACTTCAGGCCTCAATTGGTGGAGGGCTGAAAAAAATAAGAATCAGTGATTAGTCCACGGTGGATGCCAACGGGTAGCTTCCTCTATAACACCAATTAATATCACATTCAGAAAATAGAAATCAATCTGTTGGTTGTGAATAACAATAAATAAACAGTTATATGATAGATAAATAAAGTTTTAAAAAAATTTTCTTTTAAATGAAACTTGTACTCATTGTTCAAATCCTAAAAACTTAACTCTGGTTTTTCACTCTTGTTTTGCAGCATGTTGCATGTACATTGAATTTTTAAAACACTTTCAAAAGACTTAATTACCATTATTATGATTGTGAGGTATTCAATGAAAACAATTTTTGTCACATATTAATTTAAAAACTTTATTTATTAAAAATATTTTGTATTTGGTATTTGTTTTACACACAATACTTTTTAAAACTTAACCTAATCTCGTTGTTGAACTATTACTAGTATAGCCTTGGATTCCATTTGAATACTTTCAACAGAAGATCACGTCTGTAAAAGAACTGTTCTTTTACAGGTGTGTTTCGTTTCTAACGATGTTTTTCTTAATCAGCGTCCACTGAAAATTAATATAAAAACATTAGTGATTATTTTACCAGGGTAAATCACATGAAACTTACTATCCTGTGCTTGAAGCGGAACTTGTAGCGAAGCTAGAACTAGACGATGCAGACTTTCCTCCAGAAGTTACAAGATGGCCTTTAACTCCATCGTGACCACCTCCAAGACTACTGCTGGAAGAAGAAGAGTGACTCTTTGAAACACTTCCACTTCCTCCATGTCCTCCGCTAAGAAGTTCTCCATCCTCAGAGTGTCCAACACCGTGTCCTGAGAGACCGCCTTTGACAAATCCTCCCTCTGAATGGCCACCACCCAATCCACTTCCACCGTGTCCTCCCCCAAGTCCTCCTGTACTTAATCCACTTCCCCCTACACTTGACGAAGAAGATTGGCTAGATGAGAAGCTTCCACTTCCACCATGACCCGCACTGACTAATTTATTTCCGCTACCAAGCCCGCCGCCATAACCGCCTCCTGATCCACCACCATGTCCGCTTCCGCTGAGTCCACCACTACTGAATTCACCTCCACCAAATCCGCTTCCACCGTGTCCACCTCCAAGACCGCCGCCTTTTACTCCACCCCCTGAGAGACCACCGCCGAGTCCACTTCCGCCATGGCTTCCTCCAAAGCTTCCACCACTACCTCCTACACCACCGAATTCACCGAGTCCACTGCTACCGTGTCCTCCTGAGTCCGCTGCTACCGTGTCCTCCACCGAGTCCACTGCTGCCGTGTCCTCCTCCGAGTCCGCTGCTACCGTGTCCTCCACCGAGTCCGCTGCTACCGTGTCCTCCACCTAATCCGCTGCTACCGTGTCCTCCACCGAGTCCACTGCTACCGTGTCCTCCACCGAGTCCGCTACTGCCGTGTCCTCCTCCGAGTCCGCTGCTACCGTGTCCTCCACCGAGTCCGCTGCTACCGTGTCCTCCACCTAATCCGCTGCTACCGTGTCCTCCACCGAGTCCACTGCTACCGTGTCCTCCACCGAGTCCGCTACTGCCATGTCCTCCACCGAGTCCGCTACTGCCGTGTCCTCCACCTAATCCGCTGCTACCGTGTCCTCCACCGAGTCCACTGCTACCGTGTCCTCCACCGAGTCCGCTACTTCCGTGTCCTCCACCGAGTCCGCTACTGCCGTGTCCTCCACCTAATCCGCTGCTACCGTGTCCTCCACCGAATCCACCACTACTTAATCCACCTCCTGAGTGGCCACCACCTAATCCGCTTCCGCCGTGACCTCCGCCAAGTCCGCCGCCGCTCAATCCACTTCCACCAAAGCCTGATGATGAAGATTGGCTAGAAGCAAAACTGCTACTTCCGCTGTGGCCTGCAGACACTAACTTTTCGGGACCAAGTCCGCTGCCATGGCCACCACCTAATCCACTTCCACCGTGTCCTCCTCCCAGCTCGCCGCCGATAAATTCCCCTCCTGAGTGCCCTCCACCAAATCCACTTCCACCGTGTCCGCTTCCAAGACCGCCGCCTTTTACTCCACCTCCAGAGAGACTTCCACCGTGTCCACCTGATAATCCTCCGCCACTAAGTTCGCCTCCTGAGTGTCCACCAGTAAATCCACTACCACCGTATCTTTCTCCCAATCCACCGCTGCTAAAACCACCTCCTGAGTGACTAACTCCTGGTCCACTACTACCGTGTCCTCCTCCTAACCCGCCGCTGCTAAATCCGCCCCCTGAGTGACCACCACTCAGTCCACTTCCACCGTGCCCTCCTGACAGTCTCCCACTGCTAAATTCAGAGCCTGAGTGGTCACCACCGAGTCCACTTCCGCCATGACCTCCTCCAAAACCACCACCACCTCCTGAGCCACCATGTCCACCGAGACCACCCCCGCCATGTCCACCTCCAAAGCCGCCGCTTCCGCCGCCGCCTCCACCGCCGCCTCCTCTTCCACCGTATCCACCTCCGCTGAGTCCTCCTAAACCCCTGCCGCCATCACCTCCGCCTAGGCCGCTTCCTCCGTGTCCTCCAGCGCCACCACCGTAGCCCCCTGTTTGGAGTCCGCCCTGTCCATAACCTCCGCTTCCTCCTACGAGTACTTTCGAACTTGCAGCCGACGAAGCTGCTGACTGACTAAATCCTTTTGTTGCGGAACCATACCCTCCACCACCATGTGCGCCTCCGTATCCGCCTGATCCATATCCTCCTGATCCATAACCTCTCTTCTTTCTTATAAGTGATTCATGATATGAATAAGGTAACGGAAAATCCTTAATTAAAAAGTTGGTTAATACTTTTTCTATATTTTTTATCTCATCATATTCATAAAATAACTTACTTTTATAGGGCGAATACTCGGATTTATCGAATCTAATACCGAATAAATTAAGACCCTGTAATTAGGATGTTTATCTGACGTATCTCTTTCTACAATTGCATTGTCTCCCAGTTCTAAAAAATATTAATAATAATAATAAATGATTATGTTAAAAAAAAATCTTAAAAATATGCTTACAGATAAGTAATTATTAATTTATTTGTTACATCTTATTTGATTGTACACAAAAAACAATGGGTAACACAGAATTAAAGAAAACAATTTTTTTAGAACCTTTTTTTAATGAGTTCAGTCATTACTAAAACACCCAATATTAAATTCCATCGAAATATAAAATTTAATTACATTTTTTTCAATCAATAGGGCAGATAAATACTATAACACCATTTGTTGAAGAGATTATTTTTACTAATTACCTGGATTTTCAAAGTCCAATGCCAAGGCTGCGGTGAGCCCTACGGCTATTAGGAACAGCTTCAACAGCATATCTGATTTGACTTCTTCTGCAACAAGCGGCATATATAGCAGACGCCCCACTCTCCTTTAAACAAGGCCGAGATACCCTGGCGAGTTATTCTGTTAGAGCTTTTGAAATCTATACCTTGATCTTTTTTATATTTTTTGTATATGTATATAATAGTTCATCAAACGATTATAAAACATGTGTGTTTTAAGAGTGCGTTTAGAATAAGAAAATCTAAAATACAATTGCTTAAAATCAAATATAATTGAATTTTTTTATTAACAAAGTTTGTCAATCGTATAACAAAATTCATTTTTTAATTTAGTTTTTAAATTGAAACATTCCTTTTTACCATGTCCACATATGAGAAAGTTAAGAAACAATGCTTTTTATATACGGAAATAATTTGAAAAACAGTAGTTTTCATACATAGATAGATTAAGCCGTCATTATTTTTAAAATATTGAAAACGAAAGAAAAAATGTTTTTGCGAAAGTTGAAGTAGGTTCTACTTAGGCTTAAAATTCTTAGCAAATAGTAAATCTTTTTTTCAAACATGTTTTCAAAAAAATGAGACAAATATTTAAACCATGTGTTTGTTTAATATATCCTCGTTATTATTCTAATTGTTATATGTACTTAGTATATTTTTTAGTGTATTATTTTTTATTCCTAAGAAATAAAAATAAAAATTAATACACTAGAAAAATGTTAATAAGATAATGGAATAAAAAATATATAATGTACGGGACAAACAATTTTCATTAATTTTTTGAATCATAAATAACTTTTTGTTATATTTGAAATTTATCTTGTTAATTATTTGCCAGTTAAGTTCCTCTCCGTGGAAATAATAGCAAATATTCATTTTGAGTAGGGACAAAAAGATAGCTTACCCTTAAGTTGGGTATAATATGTTAAATTTTATGGTTTGCATTAATTTTTGTAATCATAAGAAAGTTTTTTGTTACATGTTAAATGCATCTTATTAATTACCTGCCAGTAAAGTATCAATCCGTCGAAATAATAGTAAATATTAACTTCCAGGTGGGACCAAAAGATAACCCACCCTAATATTTGGAAATAAGTTAAATTTTATTGTTTTCATTAATTTTTTAAATCATAAATTACGTTTTGTTACATTTTAAATGTATGTTCTTAATTATCTTCTCAGTAAAGTATCACTCCTTAGAAATAATAGTAATATTAAATTTCATGTGGGACAAAAATATATCACATATTTAGATGATTTTATTAAAACTTACAATTTTAAAAACGCTGAAAAAGAATTACAAAATAATTTTAATAGCCAGGGCCTTTGTCCTCCTAGTTAGCATCGATTTGGAGGCACTTTGAAATTTTTTTCTTCCAATTCTTCTTGGATCATGTGTTTCATCTCTTCTGTTTTTGGAACCTGATAAATAGCCTTGTATAGATGTCTAGATTTAGTCCCTAGACATTTTCAGTTATATTAAAATTTAGATCAATTACCATTCCAAAACGTCCTTTTTTTGAAAAATAATTTTAACATTTTCGCTGTATGGTCAGGCATTTGTCCCGCTAGATTATTATTATTCACTTGTTATTGTCTCTTTAATTTACTTTAATTTAAATTAAATTTCTATTAATTATAGATTTTGCATACTGTTTCATTCTACCAGAAACAAAAACAATTTCTGTTTTCTTGTTGTGACCGGTGTCACCCCATATCAGCACGCTTAAAAATAATAATCCGAAGAATCAGGGCCGTTGCGGTTACTATTTGTTACATCTGAAAACAGGATTTTTCTTGGTATTTCTTATGAACTTCATTTAGCGCTGATATCCGTTCCATTTTCTTCCTCTGGATCATGGCACCATTTATGACCCTCTTTAAGTTGTTCATGTTCGTTGATACTCCAGCTCTTTAATTTTTCCACGCTGTCAAGAAATTCGAAACCATCCTCAAAAAGTGCTCGTTTTTCAATAGTTATGACAGATGGCCTACGTGGTATTTTATTTTTTCTTCTGGATTATTTAAATAGGTAGGTGAAATGACTTTCCTACTTTGTCCTATGTTTCTTAATGTTTCCTAAATCTATATTACACGGTTTTTAATTGTTAATATTATATCGCGTTCAGGAAGCGTCAAAAACTTGCATGACCATAAGTATACATCGTTACTAGCAACAAACCTTTGCCTCATAACTTGGTATGCAATTCGATTTAGGTATTATTTTTGTTTACATACAACAGATGGGCCTACTTTCTGCCCTACCTTAAAGTCATTATTTACTATTAGAATTTTTCTAGCAAGTACGTAACAAAATTCAGTTAAATTTACTGAAAAAGTTATTTATTAAAAAAAACTTAATGAAACGTACAATTGTGATGTATACACAAAATAGTAGGGTGGGCTATTTTTTGTCCTGAACCTTATGTAGAGGCAAGTCCATCGTTAGTTTCTTATACATATACACATAGTAAACTATTCAGTTTCTCTTAGGGTCCACATCATTTTAGTAGCTCAAATTTTTAACTGTGATTCATTTGTTTATTGATGTGTGTATCTGACATTTAGTTTATTTGTGTATTGATTCTGATTAGATAGTTTTTCTCTCGTATGAATTTACGCCCTTATTTATGTCATATCGAAATGTAAAAGAGATCCAAAATTAAAATAAATCATAGTATTGCTGGAATGTCGGGTAGTTGATTATTTCTTTATACATTTTTATATATAGTTTTGAATGATTAGGTGCTCTTTTCATCATCGCAGATGATAAAACAATAAAACCTAAGGTAGGAGGCAAACCAAATCTTACATTATCTTAAAAAGAGACAATAACAAGTGAATAATTTGTACTCTAGCGGGACAAATGCCTGACCATACAGCGAAAATGTTAAAATTATTTCTCAAAAAAAGGACGTTAGGAATGGTAATTGATCTAGATTTTAATATAATTGAAAATGTCGAGGGACTAAATCTAGACATCTATACAAGGCTCCAAAAACAAGAGATGAAACACATGATCCAAGAAGAATTGGAAGAAAAAAATTTCAAAGTGTTCATCGCCTCCAAATCGATGCTAACTAGGAGGACAAAGGCCCAGCGCTAAATTAAATTATTAAAATTATTTTTCAGCGTTTTTAAAATTGTAAGTTTTAATAAAATCATCTAAATATGTGATATATTTTTGTCCCACATGAAATTTAATATTCATGTTCAAAAAATGTTGATTTGCCCGTAATAAAAGTAATAAAAGGGATGATCTATCTTGCTATCTGATTAATAAATTAAGTTTCAATTATCGCTATGCCCTTGAGACCAGGATTAATTATAGAAATGATCACTAGCAGGTAAATTATGAGTCGGTCACGATCCCTTGGTCGGTCATGCTTGCCCGGGCTTAGAAGCAAATTATAAGGTTGGGGATTTTCTCTCCGTAAAGTCAATTAAGTCGATACGAAAATGTTTGGGACAGACTTGCTCTCGTTTCTCATCATTCTTAGAACAGTTAAGGAAAACCAGTTTATCAAACCGCCCTTGCCCGAAATTTATGGTCTACAGGATCCTGTAAATCCCGGAGGAACCTGGGGATTTTTGTTATAATCATGAGCCTAATCCTTTATCCAATAATTACTGGTTTTTTTGCTCTGTTTTAGTAACATTGCATCGCCTCATTCTCGTTCACTCAGAAAATGTTATTTAATTGTATATTGTGATGTACTAATTTGCTATCTGAGAGACAGTGTTATCTCAAGATAACCCCAGTTTAATTAATCGCAAAGACGTAAATTCTTTATTCCAAATCATAATAAACATAAATTTCATTTGCTTAACCCAAACAAAAATAATTTATTGGCTGTCGACATAAGAATCGTGTTTGAATCAGTTTCTAATCTCTGATTTGTCAAAATATGCAACAGTATTTTTTATCATAACAAATACGGGTTTATTATTATTATTAATTTTTAAGGGCGTTTTAACGGCTAAGGTCATTTCACGCCCTAACATCCAAACTTTCTATCTTAGGTTAGCTATATATCTTCTGAGTGCTATAAAGCTCTGACTCCAAACATTCACTCGTAATCTAATTTATCCTTTTGCCATCCAAGCTTTAATTTTTCTTTTTAAAATTTTTAATTCGGAAGGCCAAATGTATGCAAAATTCCCATTTTAAATTGCATAAAATTGAATAAAATTTATTTCTGTTTCTTTTTTAATTAGAATTGTGAATTTTTGTTCCATAATTTAAAAATTCCTCGTAGGCTTGTGTGGCTAATAATAATAATAATAATAATAATAATAATGGAGTCAGACTAGCAACAGTCTCAGAATGAGTATAGGCTCATCCTTATCCTTTTATTCTTCCATTCAAATATGATAACTAATTCTACATAACAATAATAAGAAACAAAACATAATAACATTTCTTTTTATCTTTTTTTTTTGAGGGAGCTATTTTTTTATATTTAAATTGCGATTTTGGGCAAAATATGGGTTTAATTAACAAATATAAATTTATGCATTTAAAGGATAAAATTACATAATGCAATATACCAAATTACTTCAATTTAATTAACATTCTAGTAAAAGTGTAAATAATAATCATAAAATATAAAATTTGAGTGTTTTTTTCCAACAAAATATTAAGTGTTAAATAATAATAAATAAGTGGCACTAGATTTTTAAGCTATATCAAATTGGATATAAATTAATCTCCCATTCTTTTAACCTTTACATAAGATCGTCGATTGTTTAATAGGAAACCATTTTATAATTCTTTTCACAGAATATGAAGACCAATCGTTGTTTGGATCCGGTTTCTATGATAATATCAAGCAAATTCAATTTTGAAATCTTAGCTTTCTCGGCATTGGTTATAATGATGTTCATGGCAATTAGTATACTTGTTTTTTATTCATGTAAAAAACCAAAAAAAAGTTTTAAAGGCAGATTCTGAGAATTGTTAGAAAACCGCATACATCCCATAATTGAAAAAAAATCGCACCACTCTGAATATTGTAATGCTCCGCTTTTGTTTATTTGGTTTAATTATTTAACTTGGAAGAAGATTAACATCACTGACACGACCGTGTTAATGAGTTAAAGGAAATCCCTTTTAAGGTTGTGAATTCCATTTATGGGTGGTAAATCATCATTCTCTATATTCGTATATATACATATGTATACAATACAGTATATAGGATCAACTGAAAAAAATACACAACTCTGTTTTACAATATCAACTGAGTGCTCAAAATAACAGACATGCTTAGAAATGGCGAGATTATAATATTTAATTTTCTCTATGATGAGTTTTTATGTTTAAGATTTTTTTAAAAGCCTCATGGATGAATATAAAAATAATCTCATTTAGATTAATGTTATAAAATATTAATGTTAAAAAAGAGTAATGTTTACCAGTCACATATATCAGCGTTAATATAAGGTTATTAAGATATTAAAGTAATCCAGAACGTAAATTTTGCCCTTGACTCACTGATTTTGACCTTTGCTATCTCGACACTTTTGCGGGTCAAACATCTCGAAATAAAAAGATTTCTATTTCACTTTTTTAAATCTTAAACTAGATAAAGATTATCAAATAGAAGCCATCGGTTTTTCCTAATGGTCGCGAATTTCCATAAAAGGGGTTCTCGACGAGTTGCGAAAATGTATTAATCGCAGCAATGACCCATAGTTCATCTTATATTTTAATATGAACAAAACGAGGTGTTTAAAAAATATTATCGTACAGAATAAAAAACCAAAATGTTTATTTTATCACATCATATGTCATTTTGTATTAATCCAAGTTTAAAAAAGACAATTTGCCGTCACTTTTACAAAATAAACATAAAAATCTACTATACCAGAACGGCATAGTTATGTGCCAGACTCCGCGCATGGTCTACAATAGAATGTACAATTATTTAAAGCTTTTTGCGACCAATGAAATTTAATAGTGAACCTCAAAGTAAGGTCATGGTGTTTGGAATAGGTGGTATACCTAAATCTTCTGATATTCTTGTTAGTTGGATAGAAAACACAATCCAAAAACAAACAAATGTTAATCCTAATTTTTAATAACGGATTTATTCAAGAATAGTAAACATGAAGATAACTCATTTTGTAAACAAAGACCTTTTCTCCATTTTATGCCAATTATATTCTCTTTAATCGCGAAAAGAATTCATCTTGAACCAGAAGTTCGCAGTATTATTGTGAGAATGACTCATCGAGGTCACTGCCAAGTAGATATCTCAGAGGCAGTTGGCGTTTCTCAGAGATTTGGCTCCCGGGCTTTAGCCAGATTCCGAGAGACTGAAAATGCCAATAGGAGGTTTGTTAGGGGATCTTTGTGTATTAAGGTACAGAAATGTTGTCATTGCTGAAAGGCGGGGCCCTTTCCATAGTGCCCGCCAGATCCTAAATGAAGTACACGATGTATTGGCAAGGACTTTATCAACAAAAACGATTCGTAATCTTTTGTGGGAAGTTGACCTCACATCGCATACCCCTCTGAGACGACCTGCCACCAAGGGCTCAGGATAATATGGTGCAGCAGCGGCTAGAAGGGAACACAATGCTGTTATGTTTACTTATGAGTCGCATTTCTATCTGCAAGGTGATACCAGGCGCCTAAGAGTCTACCGACAACAGGTGATGCGTACAATGCCCCAGTTCCTCCGTTCAGTGCAGTTGGAGGAGGCGGTGTAAAGGTCTAGGCTAGGATTTACACTGGAGGACGAACTGGACTCCATATTGTTGAAGGCAACCTCACCGCATTTCATTATGTCCAAGAAATTAACGAGGAATACTTCCCTCAAACCAATGATCTCATTGGCAGGGATTTTCGATTTCTGGATGACAATGACAATTCCAGACCAGTTGTTCATTAGTGTTTAAGACACCTGGAAATTTCCCATCTACTCCTTCCCCCATTTTCTCCAAGCCTCAATTCCATTGAACACATGTGGGATGAGTTGCAACGAAGGCTTTTTGATTACCATCCGCAACCAGTTGATCTTCAACCACTGAGCGCAGTTTACATCGTTGGAGTGAAATTCTCTATGAAATTAGTGACAACCTTATTAACCAAGTTAGGCAGCTACTAATTAAGTATGTTTAACAGGTGCACAGTAGTTTTAGCTAACAGAAGACATTATATGCGGTAATGATTGCTTAATAAAATTATTGTGTCCAATAGACAAATTTATAGAATTAAAACCTTTTATTTTGTAATTTTTCAAAAGTCTAATTATATTTTCCTTCATTAAAAAACAATAATTCCTTATAAATTTTAATGCAATTTGTAATAGAAATAAAATAAAAATTCTAGGTTAAGTAAATACTACAAAATTGGCAATATCCTTATTCCTTTCGTAGCAATTTATCTTGGTGTTCTCACCCCTGATTGCATTGGACGAATAATTTGAAGCAAAAAGTCTTATTAAGAATTTTGCAATCACCAAGCCATGGTACTTTTTAATTGTCCAAGGGGACATCCCATTAAAGTATAAAGTATCCAACTCAGTGTGCTGTTCAATCCTATGTTACGGTTGCCATGTATGAGGCTATAAACAATTCGAAACCATAGGAAAAGTTTTAAGTTATATTGTGTACTATTTCATATCCTATTCCAATTAAATTAAATGATTTACTTGGAAACATCACCATACATATTATACATGCACACTTTACAACTTGACTTCTCATTAATCCTTAAAACCCTACACCTTTCAGATTTCTTGCTAGAAAAACTGACAGCGATAGAAATCGTAAGGTCCAAGACTTCTAGTATTCACAAAGGCCATCACTGTACATTAAATATTTTCTAACCAATCCAACTCTTGATAACGTTGATAAAACCAGACTTCTTTATGTAATTTAAAAGAACAAAATTTTGTCGGTCTTAACCTATGTGAATTATGTTGGCTACTAAAACTCTAACACAGGTCTTAGGATTAGAGGGAGGGTTCTGTTTGCATCTTGCAGTCAGTTGAAACAGTTCTTTACTTCCGGGCTGAGTGTTCGATTTTAGGAGAGATTCATCTATTACACTTGGGTCCTTCACTCTCTTTATAGAGTTTAAATCGTAGAGCTGTTGAATGGTTCGGATCCCCGGGTTCTCATACAGTATGCTCACTACACTTGAAAGTGTAGATTCACAGCATTATATAAAACAGCTAATGATCTAGAAACAAAACCCATTTACATATTCTGTGTATTGATTTTTTTATGTTCTACAGTTAACGGAGTTATATCCAGAATTCTACTTTTAATTTTGAATTTCGAATCATTTGCGACAATTTACAACCATCTCCGACGACAGACGGATTTAATTTAATGTTGTATATACTTTTATAAATAGATAGGTAATATAAAAATACTTTTATTGATACATGCATACAAACTAACAAAGAAATATTTGACTTAAAAATTACAGCATGGATAATACTTTTATAAATGTTTCGTTGAAGTGCATAAAGTGGCAAAATAAAGTATTTATATCTATATATGAAATAAAGATTGTGATCTCAATACCAACCTTTTAAGATATAATAAAATTGGCTTACATAATCAAGATGTACTTCAACTTATAAGATTTAATGCTGTTCACACATACATGCTGGTAAACATAAGGCGTCCTGGGTCCTGTCTGCACTAATTGCAAAGAACTATTGAAATTCCAAAAAATATATGTTGTTCCATTCTGAAAATACAATTAAAATACAACATTATATATGTTGATAAATTATTTATTTTGTATCCTCTGTATGCATACATAGATTTCATAAATTTGTTCTTCTGATTTTTACGCAGGGATGAAACAAGTCGTGAGAAACCCGCTGACACATTCGCTGCTGAAGGATTAAGGGCGAGTAGGTCTCGGGACCAAAATAGTTTACTACGATCAAGGATTTATAGAATGTGAAATAGTAAAGAGAGCTTGAACGGAAGGGTTATGGTTAGACAAACATTAGAGCGGAAGAGAATGCTGAACTCCTTGAGAGGTTAGGTTAGACACGTAATTGGGAGCTTGTGGAATTCTTATAATTGTAATTATAACTAATTATTATAACTAATTATTACAATTGTAATTGTAAATATAATTATTATGTGTACTTGTAAGGACTGTTTGATTGGAATGCTTGGATGGGTTGGATATTGCTTGGCCTTTTAGAACCGTACAGTTCTACTCCCTATGTCCAAACAAGTCTTTTTTTTTTTAAATATAATTTGTAGTACATTACAACTACCTTAAAGTAGGTAATAAGTAACAGTGAGCAAGGTAATTAAAACAAAACAAAATTAAAACCAAGAGTGGAGAAAACACCCATCCAATGTTACAATAATATTGTTTGTTCAATTGATACGTGTGTCATTATCACTTTCACTGTCATCACCATCACTTCCTAGGAGATCTCGCAGCCATTGTCTCTTCAGTCGGCGGGGAGGGTTTGAGGGGATTCGTCGGGATGCGAGGTTTCTGATGTGTTGGTTTACGTTAGTTGGGAGGTTATTATGAAATTTACGGTAACGGAAACGTATTCCATCTTGTACGAAAGGAATATGTAAATCTGTATGTGTAGTTTGGTTCGATACATAAAATGGAGCATCTTGTATTTTTCGTAGTATTATAGACTGGGCAGTTTGAATGCGGTGGATATTGGAATGTTTGGCTGAACCCCACACATCCAGCCCGTAAGTCTAAATCGGCTTAACTATGGTGTTGTAAAGCAGCCTTTTATTTTGAAGAGGTAAATTAGAGCGTTTGTCAAGAAGTCGTGCAAGAACTCTAAATCGTGTCATAACCTCCTGACGTTTCAGTTTTGTGTGAGGATTCCACGTCAGGCGTTTGTCGATGTACAATCCGAGGTACCGCACCTTGTCCGCAGTTGGGAGGGGAATATTGTTTAAGAAAACAGGGGTGGAAATCTTTTTACAAAGAGTGAAAGTAATGTGGGTGGATTTGTCTGTGTTAAATTTTATCCTTTTCTTTTTACACCAAGACTCTAGTAGTATGAGGTGTTGTTGGAGGTTTGGAGTGAAATGACAAGGTCGGAGTTGCTAGAGAGAATTGCCGTATCGCCTGCAAATGTGAAACAAGTCACAACAAGTCAAATTACTTTTTCTATAGCGTTAGTTAGACAGTCATGTATAATTTGGATCAAAGCATACAGGATGGGTTAATGTCCAAATACCCGTTGAGTCAAACCGCATTATCATACTTTCTCCATTTATCCACAATTAAAAATCCATGGGCTATGCCGGGATTCGAACCCAAGATCGCTAGCCTCACAAATAGAGTCAAACGTCTAACCTCACGACCGCCTCGGCTTTTATGTTGTCCAGGTCGCTTCAGTATCACTCCATGTCAGTCTGATGTTAGGTGTGGACGAAGATAATTCCTAGCTGTTGATGTATAGTCTAGAGCATGTCCGTTTGAACGTAAAAGTGATTCGTGTGCATTTGACCTCATTTAATTTCATCTTCCATTTTTTCACCATTCAGATTGGTTCATAAATTTTCTTTGTATCATGCAAACTCAGCCATAGCTACGCCAACGTTGCTTTATGATGTAAACTATGATAAAGCAAATAAACCATTAAACTTTATTTTTGTATTTCCCTTTCCTTTATTATTGTCTCTAATAATTAACTTCCTTTCCAATATTTGTAACTGCGCCAATTGATTAAACCTAAAATCACATATCCAATCTAGAAAATCTCCATTCTCGACATCCTTTGAGTCAAATAAAACCACTTATAATAAAAGAAAATTTCCCAGATTTACCGCGTTCTCCACCCTATCACAATCATATAAAACAGCAGAATACAAATTCACGTTTCATACGAAACAAATATGATGCCACAAGAATAGCACCATACTTTATGCTATTATAAAATACTTAGTTCAAAATTTACATCTGTATTGTACTTTTTCCAATCAACATATGTTTTTAAATTCTCCCAGGCCCTGATGGCGATCCGAATAAAAGTCGAAACGTCGGCAAAAAAATTAAAAAGTGTTTCCCTAAAATACTTCATTCATGACCGCTCCTCTTCACTTGAATTAATTATAGTGCTTATGCAGCAGCACGACGATTAAATTCAATTTTTACTTAATTTGAAAAAAATATTAGCGCAAAATTTAACATAAGAAGAACATCATGTAACTGTGTCCAATAATTTTAGAAAATTTAATTCAACAGTTCAGTTAATGAGTTTTACACTGGGAATTACAAACAAGAAATTATTCGTATTATTTCTAGGTTTTTTTTTTATTAAAGATATTGTAAAGAATTGGTCAATTGTACAACATTTTAGTATCCTGTGTCTTTTTCAAGGACATGGTTTATTTATGGACAACAGTTTATTTAACATTATTCCTTTGAATATAATCTTTCCAGAAAAAAAACGTACCTGACGATGGCAGAGGATTACGAAACTCTGAAAATTTGAACAATTCTATAAAACACCTTCAATAAAAAAAAGCTTAGAAATAATTTGAATAATTTCATGTTTCCAGTGCAAAACTCACTAACTGAACTGTTGACTTGAATTTTCTAAAAGTGTTGGACTTTGCTACATAATGTTGTTCCTATGTTAAATTTTGCGCTAAGTTTTTCAACAACATTAAACAAAAAGTCATAGAAATAATAAAAATTAACCAATCCATAAAAAAGGACAAAAATAACGAAGAATCACTTATTTTTATGCATGGGTTGAGAAAAGGCGAAAAAGAATGTTTTTTAATTTTTTTATGGAGGTAAATTCTTTAATTGTTTAGGTTGAATGTGGAGGTGTATTTGTTAGATATATTAAGAGTTTAACATAAAATTCATCTGTACTGTGTACATTTGTGTACAATAGAAGCTCTGATTTTTATTTGAAATTCACTAATTATTGTGGCTATTGCTTGTAGTCAACATAATAAAATTATATTTTGTGCTACAGTTTTCCTCGTTGGTTTTGTCACGTCTATTGCAATATAATTTTCTCATTACATATCTCCTCTCAAGCCCGCAATTGCAGGCTATTATCTTAACGTGCTTGATTTGTAACGCACAATCATGAAGGAGGAAAAAACAAATCCGGCTCCTTAGGCCCGGCGGGGAAGTTCCGATCCCACTGAAAGATGTTGAAGATCCACGTCCGTAATAACCGGATCAAGAAGAAGAGGGGACCTGCGAAGTGCCCAGGGCCAAGGTTAAGTTCAAGGCGAAATGCCATCGGCACTGTATCGTCAGGATTCTGGATTTGCCATTGAAGCCTAACAAACTGAATATATTCAGACAAAGAAATTTTTATTGTTCAATTTTATTAATTATTCAATTTGGACTATTAACAAGTTATAATTTTGGTAAATTTTAGTATAAATACCTCTCACAGCTAGATAAACCATCTAAGGTATTTTATTGCAAATTAATTTTTTTAATTTTTTTTATTTATTTCTCCTTTCAAAGAAATTACATTAATGTATAGATTTTAGATTCGGTCTACTGTTTTCTGGCCTCGGAAGTACCGCAGGGAATTGGATTGGAATTGGAACAATACTCTACATCATAGTAAATGTCCCATCCATTTTCATTGCATCCTTTGGCGATGATACAGCAGTACTATATTTTCACCCCGATCTATAGTCGCTTTGGAAGATCTTCATAGAAATATTTTGAGTAAGGACGACTGTTGTACCTTCGAAGATGTAGGCTGAGCTCTCCTCTAGGGGGTGGTTAGCAATTCCACTTTAAACGAAACCGCGGCCGGAGCGGATCCGGTAGTTTCTACGCTAGAGAAGCCCCAATACTCTGGGAGATAGAGCCGCCTTCTCTATCTAGGGAATGTGCGGGAGACCAGGCTGATATATCGGCATACGGACTGATGCTGATTCAGACCCGATCACTCGGAAAGGGGAAGGGGGAGCGAGGTTGTCTTGAGCCTTCGGGGCTTAGCTGCCTCTACACCAATGCTGCGGCAGTGACACCATTCTGTCGTATGTGGAGGTGCGTCAGCTCTCATCTTGAGAATCAAAACGTCCGATAAGGCCGAATAGGCTAGGTGCGGACTTTAAAGATCCTCATTGTCCTTTTTCGGACTACAGAGTATACGGGAAAGCATGTACCTTCGAAGATACATGATTCCAAACCTTTCAAACCAAAGTACTTAGATCAATCGTAAATGCTCGTTATTATGTATCCAATACTACCCTCCACGATGGGGACCGCGATACAGTAGTACTATCCTCTGACCCCGATCCTTCAGTTTCTTTCCTACAGAGAGTATGGTGATGATTAATATGAATATAAGAAGTCAGAGTTTTTGTTCTCCTAGAACTGCATCCTTCTACTTTTCTAATCCTTAGTTCAATGCAATCGACTCGATAATAGTCCTAAGGAGTACTTCATTTACTTGTACAATTCCTTTCTCTGTGTTTTCTTTGTATCCCAGGTGAGGTCTCCATTGAGCGTTTGCTTCATCTGCTTGATCTTCGAGATGATATGGGTGGCTGTTTATTCCTTCTCATTGCTACATTGAATGTACTCATGTTATGTACATGTTTTCTCAGATGTCATTGACCAGTATGTAATACCTATCATTCCTCTGAGTTTAGCCCTCTCTAACTGAAGGAGAGAATTTGCTGGACTTGGTGAGCGTCGTTTTAACACAAGCGTACTGTACCTAGCACCTCTTGAGTTTATCCATTTTTTCGTTTGTGTCTCTTAGATCAATTCGGTGATGGAGGATTATATGTTTGTTTTCGTTATCCCAAGAGCACGTTCGGGGTCTATGTATGGTCATGCAAATCCTCTTCTGGTATGTGTGTTTGGCTTTTCGTTACTCAAAATTCCCTTGTGTCCTGGTACCCATAATACTGCATTTTGGATGCATTCACTGACGAATTTTGATGTGATTTTTTATATTTTATTATCTGTTTGGCTATCCGATCTTATGAGGATTTGTTTGTAAATTCTATTAAGGTGTATAAGGCACAAGTATTGATCGTAGTATAGTTAGTATTTCAACTTGAAAGATTGATGTGTACTTTCCTAATGAGTTTGAATGCTCATTTTGTGGGGTTGTACATAAAATGCCTGATCCAGTTCCTTCATTTGTTTTCGATCTGTATACCATATATAACTGTATAGAATTCTTCTTATCCTTTAGTTGACGTTCTATTTTCCTATTAGTACTAGAAATAAAAATATTTCTAGTTGACGTTTAATCGTTTACAATCTATATAAATGATATCTCTTCCGAAATGATTCTCTTCCATCTGTTATGACCTTACTTTTTGCGGATGATTTAAAAATATTCCTATAAATTTGTTTCTGGCTACTTAATTTCAACATGCCTTAGTCGTATGCTGCGCCTTCTGTTAGCGTAGCAGTTTATGTTGAGCTTTGGTCCTCGAGATGGATGACGAGGATAATAGGAAGAGGGGTTGGTTTGTGCTCCCCAGGAACTGCAGTCTTCTGGCTTATTGTACCTTCCACGAGGTTAGTGATCCAGTAGTTTATATAACCAATGGGCCATTTGAGGCCTTGGCACCCAACATGTCAGGTTGTCATGCTTTCCCAGTTTTGGAGATTTTGGATGCATTTACCAAATTTTGGATGTAAAGTATTAATTTTTTAGGGTTGCTTGGCTGTCTGATGAGGATTTTTTGCCAGTGAAACACCTTTAAAGGTCGACTCATATCTACCAGCACAGAGCGTGTACAGCACGTAGCGTGGCAGACACAAAAAACATCATCACAAAACATATAGGAACGTTCATACTAAGCGAACGTTTGCGGAGCGTGTCAGTGCAGACACGTACCAGTACCGGGCAGCATGTCGCCGAGAATGTTTTGCTTGTGCTGGCACGTATCTGCGGTTGTCTTTTTTTGTCTGTGCGGTTCAATACGGCTAGTAAGAATACACGACAGACACGATTTGTGCAATTCCAATAGCTTAGGTGCCTACCTATAATACATTGCATTATAATTTTAATAATAATGTCCAGTCTTGGTAAACCGAACTTGTGCTAATCCGAATTCGGGCAAAATCCCAATCGCCGATCAGTACATATTAAAGATTTTTTTTTAAATTTTATTTTACAAAATATGTATAATAATAATATATAAGAATATAAATAATGATAATAATATTATAAGAATATTATATATTATATGTGAAGAAATGTACGTAATTTGTAATACACGGACGTGGAAAGAATCCTGTCCATTGGTTTTCTGAATTATAGTTTGCTGGTCTGTAGGTGTCTTTTGCTGTGATTACCACTTGGTATGAATGCTAGTTTCTGTGCCGTGTCTGCCACGCTACGTGCTGGACACGCTCTTGTGCTGGTAGATATGAATTGACCTTTAAGTTTACCTGTTAAAAACGATGGCCATATATTTCAAGATCGTGTGTACTTCCGTCATGTTCATATTTTGGACTTGCACAGAATATACGTAATCCTGTTCCTTGACTGGTTCTGGAGTGATTTGTAAATTATGGAATTGTATTTGATTTTATCCTGATTTCTTTTTCTTTTTTTAATCTCTTAAGACTTTAAAAATGTTTCTGGGATCATATAATCAGTCCCTATTTCTAGGAATGGCTGCCTTAATTTATTTCTTATTGTTAATGCACACTTTGAGCCCTGAAGGATGATCTAAATATCGAAACAATGGCACAATAAAGAAAATGTTTTTCTAAACCTACATCTCACAAGACCACATCTCACGATCTCCAAATAAATATTTGTAATTGTTGAATGCCCCAATTATTCAGGCCACACCCAATCTATTTATTTATTTTTTAAGTACAAAACTAGCTTTACCCGCACCACATACGTCTTCACGTATTAATGTTTTCAATGGTGGTACGGTTTAGCGCTATTACAAATGCCGTTGATGGAATTTTTATTGATGCATAGGTTTGATAGTGTTTTTATGCTGCCTAATTTTTGGTAGCTTGTTTTTGTTGAGCTTTGTCCCAATCTTACAACCCATGCAGCGTCCCAATTGGAAATGACCCCGCGACTTACATTTTGTGGTGACCGTGTATATTAATAAATATACACGTACAATAGTGAATATGAAACCTCAAATTATGATTGATAAATTTAATCAAAAATTAAATATTTATAAAAGTAAATTGACGCTGTTATGTAATTATGAGGAAAAACGTAACATCGTTATAGGTATCAGTGAAAATTGGGACTAATTTTATTTCAGGCTCAGAAAAGATGGGTTTTTTATCGCATTCACGATTCAGCACAATTATACATGAAGACCCAGGTACAATAAATCGATTGGATGTGTCAGAAAAGAGACTATTATTAGAAAATTTATGTTTTATGTGCCTTTCCAAGAAGTGAAAATTTAAATGTATATAGTGAACAATAAATATAATGAACAAACAAAATGTTATTTTCATATATAATTGTACCAATATACCTGATCAATCCAAGAAAATTTTGAAAAATAATTATACCATTTTACAATTTCATTAATTTTTATTAATTATTTTGATTAATATTAACTTTTTTATTTATTTTTTAGATTTTTGCATTTATTTCATGTTCTTGTAATTTTTTAATGTTGACTTTATTTATATTTTTGAGTAAATTTTTTCAAACTATATTTATTATATAAAATATATTTATATTTACTTATATTTATATTTTATATTTATAATATATTTACGTTATAATATTATTTATATATACCGTACATATAATGTATTATAGAATTATATACATTTATATAAAATTGTAATTATATATAATGAGCACATAATTATATTATTTATAAATACCAATATTTCAACAATATATGTATACATACATATATTGTATACATACAATATATGAATAATAATATAAATAAATTAAGTTCTTTGGAGCGTCAAAGACAATTATGTTTAATTGTTCTGATGACTGAGGTTCTTTAACAAGTAAGTGTCAAGCATCACCGGTACTAACCGGGGTTACGTTTTTTAAAACACTTTCATGCGACGATCGGTTGAGATCAGCAGATCCCGGTTTTGCACGAGTGTTTTTCTCGGTTTTGAGAAGGCCATCTGTGTCAGAATGCCGAGTATTCACACTTTCTGTCAACATTTCGGGTAAGTCTACTTCTTCGTCGTCGTCTACTACGGCATCATCATATGTTGACACGAACTTGCTGTCAGTACTTGCCTCCGTACGGTTGTGGGAAGGAGCCTGTCCCGACCAGCCCCACGACGGAGGTACCACGTTTGCGAAGTAAGTTTCAAGCAATTCCATCCAAGCTGCCTGTAAAGAGTTATAAAGCTCTTGGGGCATGATGTTCGGGAAGAGTGGAGATTTGTGTAAAGCACCCTGCCAATATGCATTTCTTAAGGAATCGTCATTCTTTCCTAAAAATCATATTCTCTTTAGGGACTAACGTTAATTCCAGCACTTTTAAGGTAATTACCTGATATAATATCGTACATATGAGGTGGTAATGTACTCCTGCACTGCTCGGCTTTTGGGCAAGAACAGTCCACTGTAACAACTACTTGCTGGTAGCGACGTTGTATTTGGTCCATGCTAAATTTCATCAGTCTCAGAGTTTTTAAAGCCGTTTCCATTTCTATTGTTGACTTTACTTCCTGAAAATAGGGATTCAGCTCGGTGCGGAAATCGTCCACTTCCACAGGAATATTTCCGCAGGTTGAAGTTGGACAAGAACATTGGACGAACTCTCGCAGCTTGTTTTGTTTTGCGATTTGAGTATGCACCTCCATGGACAGCTGCTTCAATGCTAGGTTAAAGACATCCTTCTGGAAATCCTTGTTCTGGTAAAGCTCCTGCTTTTCAATGAGGTTGAAGTAGTCGCTCGGGATCAAACCTTTGAACAGATCCCATAGCATTTGGGGATTTACAAGACCCTTGCCCGAGATCACGACATCCGGCGGGTCATGAAAGGTTAGCGTTTTGGCATTTCCTTCAAAGGATCGTCCTGTAAAGAAGGTTTTAAGGTTAAAAATAACTTTAAAATAGTCATGAAAATAATGAAATAGAATTCTCCATTTTTGTTTTTTAAAAAGAAGGACTGAACACACCGAACATGCGATAAGGTAGGCCACTACACTCAATCCATGGCATAAGAGTTGGTAATCTTCATCCCTCGTACTATCAATATCCCTCTCCCAATCTCTCTCACACTCTCTCTCTCTCTCTCTTTCTCTCTCTCTCTCTCTCTCTCACTCACTCACTCACTCACTCACTCTCTCACCCTCTCTCTCTATTTATCTATCCATCTATCTACCTATCTATCTATCCAATCTATCTATCTACCTATCTATCTAATCTATCTATCTATCTATCTATCTATATCTATCCACCTATCTATTTCTTTGTTTCTCTATCTCTTTCTCTACTTCTTAAGAGAAGCATCGAATCAATCTTACTGAACTAAGGGGCTAGGAAAACGACAATCAGCCAGAAGACAGCAGACTTGGTTAATGCAGGACTCCTGCTTCCTAGTAATTAAAAGTAATGCTACTCCAGTAATACAAGAAGGTACAAGTAATACCACTTTACAATACTTTTTTCATAATTATTTACCCTTGGACCATACTGTGATTCAAACCGAGAACCGCTAGCGTGGTGGACGACTCGGCCACTGCGATTCCCTTCATGAAGGGTAGTATTGGATACATAATAAGCGAAATTTAAAATTGATCTAAGTACATTAGATTGAAAGGTTTGGAATTATTGGGTCTTCGAAGATTCAATTGTCTTCCATATACTAAAAATGATTGTGTACATCTTCTTCTGTATTATCCTTTGACTCCGATCTACAGTCGCTTTGGAAGATGTACACAATCATTTTTAGTATATCTTCGAAGATCCAACGATTCCAAACCTTTCAATCTAATGTACTTAGATCAATTTTAAATTCCCCTTATTATGTATCCTTCTTTCTCTCTCACTCTTCTCCATTTTTTCAAACACTATCTCTCTAGATATCTCTAACTCTCCTGTTTTTCTCTTTCTACGTTTAAGTCGTTTATTTTTATTTTTCTCTCTATTTCTCCTTTTAACAACCCCACTCTCACCCTCTGGGTCTCTCTCTCTCTCTCCCTCCCTCTCACTCTCCCTCTCTCCCTCCCTCTCTCTCTTTCTCTCTCTCCCTCTCTCTCTCTCTCTCTATCTATCTATCTATCTATCAATCTCTCTCTCTATCTATCTCTCTATCTATCTACCTATCTAATCTATCTATTTATCTATCTATCTAGTTATATCTCTATCTATATCTATCAAAGTCAAAGGATAATACTGCTGTATTATCGGCAAATGATGCACGAAAAGGAAAACATAGAAGCGGGGACATCTGCGCTATAAACGATAAAAAGTATTGTTTTGGTGGAGACTTTAATAGGGATTTTGAAAATCCTCCAATGCGATTATGCAGATGTATTGTGAAATGTTGAGGATTGGCCTGTTGCCATACGGTACTTCCGCGGCCTAAAACCTCGGGGAATACAAAACTCCCGCTTCATTGTATTATATTGTTATCATCATAATAATCATCTATCTTTCTCTCGAAATATCTGAAGCTCTCCAGTCTCTCTATCCCCCTCAATTCAATGACTAAATAAATAAATAAACGATATGTTCTTCTAAAATATACTATAATTGTGTGGACGAACAAATGGATAACAAACTGCCCACCTGTATAGTACTATACTAACGCGGCGTAACAGTTGTGTTTTGCGGGTTAGCGTGTCGGGTATGAACAATATATTTACATAACTTTACAGTATTTAAACTGCCATTAGTTACAGGAAGCGATATGGAAACGAAAGAGACCGTGAGACAAGTAACCGCTGACTTGCTAAAAAACTAGTTTTTTCTATAAAACTCCCACTAGCATCCCGACCGAGAACATTGTAGTACAGTTAACGCCTGACTCTGTATCTATTTATTTAAATAAAATTCCTTTTTTTAAGAAGCTTTTACTCTTGGTTCATCAATTCTTCAACTTTATTGGCGTGATCGATTTTCCCGCAAGGAATGTGAGTTTCTACTCTTCATCCGCCGTGTTCAGCACAAGAAAAAATCAAGAGAATCTACGTGGTCGATTGCCCCGTGGACGGACAGACCGGACTAGTAAAGAACATTGTTCAGACATTACAAATCCGGCTCTCTTCATCACCAACGAACTCCGTTGAGTGGCGGCTTTTTTGTTTCACAGAAGATACTTACTTCCTTTTCTAATTTCGAAAGGGTTAACAACAAGTCCAAACCAATTTCCAGGGAAATCCTTAAATATGTCGGAATTAATTACCGAATTTCGTCAGTACCGTTTAGGACCTCTGCAATATGCAATGCAATAAAAAAATTATTAAAGGACGAGCTAATTATTGAATACTGTTTAGAGCAACAATGTCTCATTTGGATAGACCTGCGGACGCAGTGGTATTAAACAATAATGTTTTCTATGCATTAGATACAATTAATTCCTTAAAAAAAATTTTCCTACAATAGAATTATTCCAAATTTAACAGCCAAAGTAATAGTAATGAAGTCCTATAATAGAGAACACCCAAAAGAGTTTTTAAACAAGTTGGATGAAAAACGTACAATTGTAATTACCAGAAACAAACTAGATAATACACATAACTCAACAACAGACCAACTTGATTCTACGTTGATCAGGACGTTAATACACAGGAATCACCCAGTTTTAGGAGCCAGTCTACAAGTCTTACAACCAAAAACATTAGACGAAGCTCGAAGTAAGTTGATCAACGATTGCAGTATTATCCAGTTCAACCCTAGTTCAAGACGACAGATACCCGGAAGTTTTCAGGAAAGATGTACAGATCGAAATCGATAAACCATCAGAAAATAAGATTATTAGGCCATCTAATTCACCATATAATCTCTTATATGGATAGTCCCCAAAAGGCCATTTTGCCTCTACAAAATAAAAATTAGAATGGTTATCGATTAGCGAAAATTAAATGACTATTGAAGATAACTTTCCTCTTCCCAATGCTGAAGATCTGTTTGGAAAAGCAACTTATTTTTCCGCTATTGATTTAGCATCAGGATTTCATCAGATTGAGATGGATGAAGAGTTTATCCCAAAATCTGCCTTCTCCACCGAATGTGGACATATGAATCCTTGAGAATGCCCATTGGATTAAAAATTCTCCTACCAATGCGTCATGAAAATCATATTCTCCAAAATATCTAACGTCCTAGTATTATGGATAATGTAATTATATTTTCAGATATTTTAGATGATCATTTAAAACATGTAAAAGGCGTACAGTGAAAATTAAATGAACATAAATTAAAATTCCAACTAGATAAAACGGAATTCTCCAAGAGAGAGCAGCTTTATTTAGAACTATTATGTATGAAAAAAGGTATCCGACCTCCTGATAAATTAAAATACATCAAAACTAACCTTTTCCAAAAACTACTAAACAATTTTTAGGTTTAACTAGTTATTACGCAAAATGATCCAAAATTACGCAAAACTTGCTAAACACCTTTACTGCCGCTGTAAGAAAAGGTGCCAAGAATCTTTTGAAAATCTCAAATTATTACTTGAAAATAACGTGTGATGATTAGTGACCGTTAATCGATATTTATTTAGAAATCGTGAGATGCGGTCTGGTGTGATGTAGGTTTCAGAAAAACATTTTCTTTATCGTGCCAACGTTTCGATCTTTATTGAGATCATCATCAGGGCTCCAAGTGTTTGTGTTCCGTGTAATTGTGTCATTCTTGCGTGTCGTGTCGAGAGTCAAGAAAATAACACACTATCTTGCATTTGCCTGATTTTTCTAAAGAATTTATTCTAACCATTGATGTCTGATGACTTCGCCATAGGCCTACCTCGAATATCTAACGGGAAAGATTTGGCTATAGCATTCACGAACGCTAAAAAAACTAGTAGAAAATTTGTCGACAATTGAAAAAGAACTATTGGCAATTATTTCAGCTTGCAAACATTTCCGCCCATATCATTACGGTAGTCAATTTTTAGTACAAATAAATCAAAACCCATTGCAGTGGCCCTATAATATTAACGAGCCCAATTCCAAACTAATACGAGGGAAATTATTAGAAGAAGAATTGGATTATGAAATTTGAAATTTGAAGGCAAAACAAACTTTTTTGCGAATTCCACCTGCACACCTGAATGCAATTGACATCGATCCTCTTCACGTTCTGGATGAACTTTTAAGAAAAAGTTGCTCCGAGAATAATAATGAAGATGATAATAATGATTATAACGATAACGTGAATCTTATAACTATTCATACAGAGGAAACCATAAACCAACAAGTAGCAATTGTTGATGAAAATAACATCTGGAACGAAATCAAACAGTTTTAAAAAGATGAAACGGAGAACCTTGTAATTCAACAGATTAACATTACCAAATTAACGAATTAATTATTCAATATGTAAAACTGAAATCAACCTACGGCATTTACGATAAAAAGGAAAAATAAGCAAGATCAATATCAATGTACTAACTCCTAATAAACAAAAAGAAACCCTTCAAACTATCATTTAGGTAAAATATATCAAGGAGGATTTAATAAAAATTACAATCACTTGGGAAAATTTATAGAATCTTGTTCTGCTTGTCAGGAGTCAAGTATAATAGAGACCCCACCCCAGTTGAATACATCACACTAACACTAACCATATCATTTGAAAATAGATACATTTGTTTTTAGGATAGAATTTTCTTAACTTTCAAAAAGACTTTTATACTTTCCTCTCAAGAGTCTCAACCAACTAGAAATACAAGAACACAATATGTTAAATCCTTACAAGCTCGAGCCTTATTACGTTACTCAGGTCATCCAGACTCGCATGGATTATTAGGATGCACTCCTCCATGAGAGAGGGAGAGAGAGAGAGAGAGAGAGAGAGAGCGAGAGAGTGTGGGAGGGAGGTAGAGAGAGATAGCTGTGTATATTTCAGATAGACACATTTTCGAGTACCTTCCTCAATATCATACCAAACACTGTACAAATTGACAATGTCATAGAATTTTATAATGCCAGAATTAAGAATTTGTTAAATCTTTACGAGATCGAGCCTTATTACATTACTCAGGTCATCCAGACTCGCATGGATTATTAGAATGCACTCCTCCACGAGAGAGTGAGAGTGAGGGGAGAGAGAGAGAGAGAGAGAGAGAGAGAGAGAGAGNATAATTTCAATTTTCATGTAATGTCCCTTTGCCCTCTTGCTGATCTAACGTGAAATATATTTTACCTTATACAAAAGGTGTACATTACAGAAAAGAATAGTTTGAGAATAGTAATTGATTCGCATGACGCAAGTTTTTCAAAATGATGTGATGAGGTCGAAGGTCAAAACCTTTCGTCGGGATGAAACATTTTATCTCCTTAATTAAGAAAACTCATACAATAACAAATAATATGGGATCGATATCTACTTAAATATTCATATATGTAGATCGATCAGTGGGATGCGCTGAATGTATCAATTAATTTTAATTACCCGTTTAAAAATTATTTTTACTCAACGCATAGTATCTTTCAATAAAGTTTTGCCAGAAGCATGAGTTGTAAATAAAACATTTCGATCGGGTATTTTTTTTTATTTATTTATCTTGTAAATTGCATTAAAATTAATGGCAATTCTGTATTAAATCATTGATCGAAGGCAAAATGTTAAGATTTCATAAAAAATTAAAGTAGTAAAAACAAATCAATAAAAAGATTCTGTTTTTATTTTAAAAAATAAACCAACGAAAGAATGCAATTCCAAATAAAAGGCAGCAAGCAGTGTAGTTTTGATAAGTTGTTACTTTTGAGTAAAATTGACATAACTTACCAAATGCTACTGCCACCAGGCAAGTAACGACTGCGAGAAACTTCATCGCAACAAGATACAATATACAGATATTCTGACCATTTATATACGTGCTTTTAAATAACATTTTAACAGCCTCGTTAGCTTATAATGGAAAGATAAATTTCGGTTGTCAACCTTTCGATTAAAAGAATAGCGAACAGGAAAATTAAATTTGTTAAATTATAAGAAAATAATTATTCTATATATATTTTGATGAAAGTGTTGATAAGAAAAAGATTTTCAGAACTTAATTTTGCAAGTAATAAACCAGAAGATATCTTTTTTTAAATAATACCCAAATAAAGTAATATCTGTGAATATTATAAAATATAAGATAACTTCTGTCATTATGACAACACAAGACGTGCATCTGGGTTCGTTGAATTAAAAACACAACATATGACCATCAGCTAGTCAGGGCGCAAAAAACAAAAACATTTTTCAAAAAAGAGGCTGACATAGTTGTACCGACAGATAAAACAAAACAAAGTGTGGTGTTTTACAAAGATACCTTCAAAAGATGAACGACATGCTTTAAGATATCTCCGAAGTAGTCGAGGTAAAAGATCCTAGTGAATACATATACAAACTTTACAACAGAATTATTATAAATTTATATAAAAACAAATTTCGAAAGTACTAGCAAAACTAAATGTCTAATGATTTGTTCATTTTTTTATCTGCTGACCTAACTACCACATTTTTTGTTATGATTACCTATCTATTTATCTATATATCAAGCTACGTAACTAATAGTTTATCTGTTTCTCTAAATCTTTCTAAAATATTTCCATTTCTATTTGAAATAATTATCTTTTCCAATCCAACACATTTCATTTTTATAACATTAGAGTAATATCTTTAATATTTCATATTTTTAGATCTCTAAGGGTATATTTTAATTAGACAAAGAACACTGTGTCTTACCTTTATTTTTTATAACCGTGGTAAGAAAGAAAAAGTTCGATTTGAATGACGTTCAGAAACAAAATAATTCAAAAACTAAACTTAATAATTTACAGGTACTGACACACTTTATTGGTCTGTTTAATTGACTATGTTCATACTCATATACAAAAAAATTGTGATCAGTTTATTTATAATAAACTTTTAATTATTAAGATCTTCGACCACATCGCAACATGTTGAAGAATATTCTTCGCCATGTTTGTTGTTTTCTGAATAGTTCTTTGAGTTTATTTTTTGTTTTTTCGGTTCTCAGTTCTTTTTCTTTTTAAACCCTTTCTTTAATAACTTTGTGTAATATTTCTACACGATTTTAGTATTCTTTGGCTCTCCTCCTGTTACAGTTTGATCTTCCATTTTCCCGTAAGTGATTTCCATTGGGGTCATGTTTAGTGTAATTTAGGGTATTATTAAAAGCAAATACGGCTAGTTTCATGTTTCGAAAGGTGTTCTAAAATGTTTCTTGTAAGCGTATTTTAGTGAAAGAGTGCGTTCTAATAATCCATGCGAGTCTGGATGACCTGAGTAATGTAATAAGGCTCGATATTGTAAGGATTTAATAAATTCTCTACCGTTATCCATTTGGATAGATTTTGGCATGATATTGAGAAAGGTATTCGAAAATGAGTTCTTGTATTTAGTGACTGGGAGATTTTCGAGGCCCTGAAAAGGACCGGTGGTGTTTTGAGGCGTCGTGGGCGATGAATCGAGGCCGGGACCGTGTGCGGGCCGTGGGTAGTGGTCCGTAACCGAGAGAATCGTTGGCTGAGGTCCGGGGGCCGTGAGTCGGTTGATTCTGCAGTGGTTGAAGGGTTTCGGGTGCAGCAGTTAGCCGAGTGCAGCAGTTGGCCATTATAGCCAATGCTGCGAATACCCTTTCTGCCGTCGCTGTCGCTGTCGGTGCTCCATTAGTGATTTGCGAGAGCTCGTCGGGCAGACGAGTCTGCTGTCGTTGTTCGATTAGGGATTACTGAAACCTCGTCGGGGAGACGAGTGTGCTGTCGATGCTCGATTAGTGATAAGTCTCGAAGTGTGCAGGGAGACCTCACCGAGGAGACGAGTCTCCGACGAGTCTGAAGTCAGTGGAGCAGTGCGCCTGCTTAAATTTGGATGGGCTCTACTCTGATTAGTAGCAGAGTGGAGCGCGAGACCATTCCATAGCCGGTAGTGGCACCTAGTAGCGGGTAACGTGGTGACTGCAGGTGGCCACAACATAGCTCCCCCAATTGGCGAGCCACTCCAAACTGCAGCCAATTGTGTAGTGCGGCGTGTTCCTCCAGTAAGTTCCTCCCACTCCCTAAATTATTCTCGGGAACATGATCACGTCGGGGTCACCAAAATCTTCCAGTCACTAAACTGATGACCCCGACATGATCATGTTCCCGAGAATAATTTAAGGAATGGGAGGAACTTACTGGAGGAACACGCCACACAACACAATTGGTCTGCAGTTTGCAGTGTTGTGGCCACCTGCAGTCACCAAGTTACCCGCTAGGGCCACCCACTACCTTGTATTTCTAGTCCATTAAGACACTTGAGAAGAAAGTGTAAGACGTTTTAAAAAACAATCGATTAAAGTTAAGAAAATTTCATCCTTAAAATGAAATGTATCTATTTTCAAATGGTTTAGTTATAGTTTGTGTGATGTATTCAACTGGGGTGGGGTCTCTCTATCATACTTGAATCTTGACAAACAGAACAAGAATTTATAAAAATTTTTTATATCTTTCAACATCGTGGACAAATAATAATTTTTTAATAGTTTGAGATGGTTTCTTTTTGTTTTTCATTGATATTGATCTTACTATATTGTTTTAATTTGATACTTTCCAAATTTTATGTTATGTGTTTACTAAAGTTATTGAGCATCCGTTCGTATTCGGTTTCAAGATATTTTTCTTTTTTATTGTAAATGCCGTAGGTTGTATTCGGTTTTATACATCGAATAATTAATTCGTTCATTTGGTTCTTTAATGCTCAATGTTAATCTGTTTAATTCGAGGTTCTCTGTTTCCCGTTTTTAAAACTATTTGATTCTGTCCTGTGTCCAGGATTTTATTTTCATCAACAATCGTTACTTATTGGTTTAAGTTTTTCTGTTAATGAATAGTTATAGGACTCACGTAATCGTTATTATGATCTTCATTATTAGCCCGGGGCAACTTTATTTTAATCAAATAGCAGGAAAAAATCTTTGCTAGATTGCGATAAGAACACGCAATAATTTTACTTCTTGCAAATTTAATATTTTCAGCTGACCATAGTGAGAAGCATGCAAAGTCGAAGAAAGAAAACGTTTGAGAAATTTGCATGACTTATCCAAATCCCTTATAATTACTTGTTCCTGTTGAGTTAGATGAGAAAAAAACTTCAGATACGTGGGCATGAAGTTCTAATAGGAAAAAATGAAGAAAAAGAAATTTTGTGTTGTAAATTTCATACGCCTCAAATCATACATTTACTTTTATATAAGAGAACCTAACTGGCCCAACAAATTAAATGTAAATTTATACTGCTTATACGGCTTTTGTTGTTTTATCACTGTTTATCTTTCATTTAGGAAGAGTATTACATTTATTAAAACTAATCCATGATTATACAACCAACTTGCTGGTACAAAGTATTGAAAGAGAATCCTTCTTTTATTAATTATATTTCCTGTAAGGATTTTTTGGTTGCTTTGTTTAAATGAATTGTTGTCGGTAGGAGTCACTGGGAAGCCCGGTAATTTTCATAACCGGATTGTGTCTCGAGGTATCAAGTTCAGTAGATAGATGGCAAGATTGGAAAGATGTTTTTATAATTTATAATCTTCTGTAAATCTAATATGAGTTTTTTTACTTTTGATGACACGGTGATATAAGTGAAACGAAAAATTTCTTTTGAAACGGATACAAGCTCAACATTAACACAAATGTTAACAGTAGAAATATACGAGTGTAAACAACAATCTTGTCAAGAACAGAGATTACCAGTCGGAGTAGCGGAAAACATGCCATTAAACATCCTCCAAATAATACGCTTTCTAATTTTTACGAGTACAATTGGTTCGTTAGAAAACCCCTTTTAAAAAACTGTAGTTTCTCTCTCAAGAGCATGATTGTAGAATCATATAAAACATATTTTTTTAAATAGTTTTCGCTTTGTTAGGGAAAACGTCAAAATATATAAATATGTATTTAAAACATAACTATGTTCAATCAAAATGAACATATGAGTTTAGCTTTTTTGCCCAATCCGCCTATTCCTTAATTTTTATATTCGACATACATATCAACAAACATACATATTTTTTATCACATTTTGGTGGAGGTTTTCGTGCGAGAGGTGATTATCATTTCACCGACAACTGTCCGATTATTTGGATTTTTACAAATGTATTACATTATTGTAGTTATTTTTAATTAAAAAATCCACTATTTCCTATAGCTTTTCTATTTTTTTTATCCCGTTGTAGTGAATTAATTCCAAATACAGACACAATTTTGTATTATCATGTTACCGTTTAATTAAAAATAGTTAGAAATTTATCACATTTAAAATTGCATTTTTTTGTCAGACACGTTTTGCACGATCTTCATTCGTACTATGCGTTATCTAAATTTAACCAGCTAGGACTCACGGGCCAGGAGGAGACGATAAACATAAAGGTTGTTCACCTCCCAGATCGTACACTATTTCGCAAATAGGTTTCCGGTTAAAAATGGTTTACACTTCCTTACAACTTCCTGGATTATAGACAATTATCATGCTGTTATATAGTTGAGTGTCTGAATATTTCGAAAGTATGGTATACTATGCCAGCCAATTTTTCTTAATGTTAATGATACTTTGGGTAAAATATACAGCCAATTCTGGCAATTTTTCTACATATTCCACTACATTTTGGCAATGATTTGGTATAAGGCGATTTTCTGAATAAACAGATGGCTTTCCAAAATTATTTGGCTTATTAAGAATAATTTTCTCGGATCATTACAAATGTATTTTATTATTTTAGATATTTTATTATAGATAAACGTCAATGGAAGGTCTGTGCGTTGACTAAATTTAAACCAGCAAGGATACACGGACGTGGTCGTTTAGAGGCATAAAATGGCGGGTTCATCACCTCACAGATTTTCCAGTATTTCTTCTCAAATTCGTTTCTTATGCCGTATACTTCCCTGCATCTTTTTGGATTAAAGGTGATAGACGATTAACATAGAGATTATATTTTGAATCGTATATATTTCGTAATATTTCGCAAATAAAAGATATGGTTTGGCATCGCAGCCAATTTTCTTATTATTAAGTCTATGGTGTTTAGTGACTGTTAGTTAATGATTACTTGGAGATCGTGAGGTGTGGTCTGGTGTGACGTAGGTTTATAAAAACATTTTCTTTATCATGCCAACGTTTTGAACTTTAGCCTCAATTTCAGGACCTGGGATTTATAAACATTGTTTAAATTTGTGTGGTGATTAGTGACCGTTAATCGATAATTATTCAGAAATCGTGAGATGCGGTATGGTGTGATATAGGTTTCAGAAAAACATTTTCTTTATCGTGCCAACGTTTCGATCTTTATTGAGATCATCTTCACGGCGTGGTATTTATAAACATTGTTTACATTTAACAAATACATTTAGAATGTGGATTTTTTTTTTTTTTTTGTTCAAAGTATTTCTACTCATTCAAAGTGTTTGTCTTCTGTGTAATTGTGCCATTCTTGCGTGTCGTATTGAGAGTGCCAGTGAGATTNTTGTTACTGGTGTGGGATCTTTAATTTTGGAAAAAAGTGTGTGAATTGTTCTACAGTTTTTGAAAGCTATTTTAAAGTTATTTTATTATTAAGGATATTTTGGGTAGAAAAATACATTTCTGACAATTTTTTTACATTTTCCATTGAAGAATATATGTAAGTCCCACGATCTTCAGTATGTCTATGCGATATTTAAATATAGACCAGCAGGTAATCAGGCCTTTTAGAGTCGATAAAACTGCAGGTTCGTCACCTCGCAGACCTTACATTTGTATACCTTATATAACCTTCATCTTGCTGGATTACAGCCAATCGGCGACTAGCTTACCGGTTAATCGATCATTACCAAAATAATTTGTATACAAAGGGTATAGTTTTGCTTTACAGCGAATTTTATTTTTTATGCGAGAAATAAGAAAAAAGAATATGGCCTATTTCTGGCAACTTTTATACATTTCCCATCTCGTTCCTGAGGACGATGGAGGAAATATCATATCACAGATTAAACAGATGAATTTCTAAATATTTTATAAATTGTGATTTTTTTTAATTGTTACCAATTTATTCGATTGTTAAAGATAATTTTTTCTTCCAAGAACTTTAGTCCCGTCTTTTCTTAAAATCTTTATTTTTCCCATATCGATTTCGGCGTTTCAGTAAGTATACCAAGGTAGATGCTCGAAAGTGTATACATAATAATAATAAATTAAATATAAACATTATAATAATAAAGCATACAGAAAAAATAAATTGATGTTAGGTGAGGTTTTTGTGAATCGACCCTCGTTTTTGGAATTCTGTTCAAACGGATCAGTTTGAGGGTACTGCTGAACAAATCTACAATCGTTTCCCAAGCTTCCAACTGTATTTAAGCAGTTATCATTAGGGGCTATAGGTTCACAAAACATAAAATAAAATTTGAAGTTACATACATTTTTTTTTTTTTTTTTTTTTGTCAGACAGGTTTATTTGAGTTGAGCTAGCTGTTTAATTTATGCTGCTTGGATTTTTTAAACTTTCACACGTGTACTTTTCCAATTATTAAATCATTAAATTTCGTAAGTAATTAGTTTCTGTACTCCAAATTTTATTTAGCAAAGACGTTCTCACGTATTTCTTAATTTTTGTGGACCTATGGGCCCTGATGATGACTGCTTATATACAGTTGAATGCTTGGCGAACGATTGTTGATTTATTCAGCTGCCATCATACTGATTCATTCAATCAGAATAAAAATAAAGATTTAACAATTAGACGGGTCTAAAATTCTTGAAAAAACCTACTACATTTGATCAGGGCCGTAAAAGAGATATAACAATAAACAATAATAAAAAAAATATTTTTGGTTTAAAAATATGTCCACTTTTTACCATTTTTGTACGGTTTCTGTGTACCATATAACAATTACTAAACAACCAGATAGACTTTTGAATCTCATAATAATATTTTTTTCTGCTGTTGTTAGCATATCCATGATTTACTACTACTACTACTATATGTCTTTATTGTTTAATATATATACAAAGTTTACGGATCGGCATTATATATTACAAAGCAAAAAAGACATTCCTCATGGTTTAAAACCGTCTGAGGGAGTCTAGCACATAAACTTATATAACTAAAATCTCTCTTATTTAGAGTAATCATAATTAGTATTTACAAAAGGAATACAAACTTTCTTCAAAAATTTCAGTAATGTAATAATACAACATAATTGTAAAATAATAGCTGAAACATGATTTCAAATAAATACATCTTTTTTTTTTTTTTATTACCTATAATGCACATAACTCAATAATAAAATAAACTAAAGTAAAGTAAATGGAAATAATAAAAGTAAAAATAAATAATAATGAAGTATATTATCTACCACAAGAGATAATAGTAAAAGACAAAACTAATAATAAGTGTTTAAAATGTAATATTAAGGTCGAAGATGAGCTTTTCACCTATTCAGGGGAATCCGACAAAAGAAGCCGTCTCCAGCCTCACCAGGTGCCTCTGATTCTAGCTCTAAGAGAATAAGCTTCTTTGCAGAAATTTACCAATACAGCCCAATCCTTGCCATTAATATATTCTAGCAGCATCTCACTAGGCAGGGTTTCCCTATCAAAATAGTGTTTCCTGACAGCGTTCAGTGCTGGGCAAGTCCGGCTCTGTACCACTACAAAGTTCACAGTTAATATCCTGCTGCTTGAAGTGTTTGTAGTTTAAGTTAAACAGATCCCCTCGACATTTAATTATCCACCGCATGCTATCTAAGGGTAGCGAGAGATCCATTAGATAATTTGGGGATTTGAAAAGAAGCTCTCTATGGAGTGGGAAACTGTCCGAATTGGCCAAAGTTGTGTAATATTGCCTCTTTATATTGTCACAAATGGACCGTCTAACTAGTCTCAAACCATCCCTCCACAGTTCAACTCTGTCGATATTGTTCCGACTTAAGGACAGGTCTAAATTAAATTGCAAGATATGCCTTTTTATTTCCTTAAACCAATATATTTCCTTATTTACAATCTGCTTGGCTAGGATCTTCGGGAGTCTATTATCTGGTAGGGATAAAATTCTTATTATGTAGTCGAAGTGTAGTTTCACAGTGTGGAGAAAAATTGGCAGGAGACCCGTCTCAGCATAGAGGAAAGCTGTGGGGGCGTACTGAGGCAGCCTGAACAGTCTCCTGATGAAAGACCGCAGAAACCCTTCTACCTGTCCAAGCATCTCTCCTCCCCAAACCTGAGCGCCGTAGCATAAAATAGACCTGCTGACTGTGTTAAATATTTTTAGTTTAGTCGGGTACGCAATATCGCCGTTGTCTATAAGAGGTCTCCAGATAGAATTTAATCCCATCCTTGCTCTATCCACAGCATCCGCAACATGTTTGTTCATTGACAGTGCCGGCGTGAGTCGGATTCCCAGATACCTATATTCATTCATATCCATGATTTAACTAATTTATAAATAGTTGTGATTTTAGAAATGTTTTTTGTTTTACCAATTTATCTCATTCCAAAGGCATTACAGGTTGAAAAATATAGACTACTTCCGGCAACTTTTGTAAGTTTCCTGTCTTCCCTACAGGAGGATTACGAGCGTCATAAGATTAAAAGGTCTCCAATTAAAAAGAATTAGTTTCCGTTTAACAGCAGAATATCCTGTTTGTTTTTGCGTCCTTGTCCCCCTCCAGGTGTGGGTACAGAGTAGGGCCGTCTCGCCGATCCTCCGTGATCAGTCAGACATGATATCAGCGGCGTTAATATTCCTCGTCGGAGCATCGTTTTCATCCGTGTCAGGTAATTTCTTGCTGTTTGTACTTTAGCTGGGTTAAAGAATGTCCTACATTACTTTGTTTGTGCATGTGTGAGTTAGTGTGTCTGTTGCGGTGTGTGTGTGTGTGTGTGTGTGTGTGTGTGTGTGTGTGTGTGTGTGAGAGAGAGAGAGAGATATTGTTAGAGCATTTAAATCCTGAAGTCTTTGAGAAACGCATAGAACTCAGAATTATGTAAATATATTTTCTTACTATTTGCATTATGTATATATCAATGCGGCAGACAATAAGAATAAACTATTTTTATCGTTTGACTTTAAATTTTACGAAATACTCAGATGGGAAGGGAAACAAATTTTCGAAAAACTTCTTTCATAATTAATCATTCTCTAACAAAACTTCTACTGGCTGGTGCCAAAATACTTTAATTATATGTATTAGACATGTAATGGTTACTTGTCATCATTATTATTTTTGCTAGGTTATAATTTAAAAGCAAGCCAAAACTCGTCTGGTCATGTTCTATCTGATGCTCTACGAACTTAATATTTCCAAATAATCTAGATCATGGAATGATCTTGATGAAAAGCAAATTCAATACTTACTGCCAGGGTTTCTTTTCTATTTTTAGGTCATCATCAGGGCCTATATTAATTACATATTATGAATACATATTTGTGCAGTTGATTCAATATGTACTGCAATATGCACAATACAAATGAAACAAATAAATGTACACTAATACAAATATGTAGTCATAATGTGTAATTAATATAGTTCCTGATGATGACCTTAGAAAGGCCCAAAACTTGGCAATAACAATTGAATTAGCCTTTTCATCAAGACAAAAACATGAACCAGATAATTCGTGAGTACAAGTAGTAAGTATATATAGTATGGTCGATACATCTAACACTTAAAAGGTCAATATTAACCGCGTTGTACTTGACACCATTTCAAAACTTGAATTGATGATGATGTTACTATTTAAATTGTTAATTAAAGTTTTAAAACCTTGATTATTTGGGTACATTCCTCGAAAGCTCGTTGAAGGAATTAAAAGTTAAATTTAACAATCATTTAATATTCTTTATATATAAACCGAAAAGAAACAAACTTATCTTAAAATAGCAATTTGACCATATATACCATATATTTTTTTTACCTAGAATGTTATACTTTTTATAATGTATCATCATCGAAAGACCAAGACTCTCGACGTATCACATACCAAAAATACACATTGAATATTTATAAACTTAAACAGTTAGTTGACCAGTGGTTCTAATTTCTTCCACAACAGAACATTTTGTCAGTTAATTTCTGCTCGTCGAGCATTGTCCAACAATTTTGATTTCAGCAATTAATATTATATTCACTAGTTTTCGTGGTCAATATCTTTCAATTAATCGAGGTTTTTAGTTGAGATAAAAAGTCAGTGTCACGAGCGGGATTCGAACCCACGACCTTCGGCTAGATACGCCGCTACCTCTACCACTTGAGCTATCGTGACTTCTAGGCGACTAAGTCACGATAGCTCAAGTGGTAGAGTAGCGGCGTATCTAGCCGAAGGTCGTGGGTTCGAATCCCGCTCGTGACACTGACTTTTTATCTTAACTAAATACCTTAATTAATTGAATTAATATTATAATTGTGTATTAAAAAATCGTACAAAAGGACGATTTGAAAATAAATAAAAACACTTAGTTCTTTCATCAAGCTTTTGAAGAATATATCCTCTTAATTGTGACTTTTTAGAATGGACTCGGAAATTCATTTGTTAATGACATAAGTTTCAAGGGATGAAGGAAATATAGTCTTCAAAATCTCATTTAAGAAATTCAATTGGTAAATCTACTAATTAATTATTCCCTATACCGAAAAATATCTTATCATAAAATAACAATTTGACCATATACATTTTTTTTAAATTAGAATCATATGTTTATTGTAATGCACATCGTATATGGGATATTTATATATGTTTCTATAAAACAATTTTAATATTATTTTATATGTAATACATGTATAGTTGTCGATATAAATAAATGAAGTAAAAAGATTGTTTTAAAATAATCTGTACATACTTGATAAATGTTTTTTTTTCATTTATATTAATTACTAATAAATAGAAATTTGGCGACTGAAAAAAATTCAGCTTTTAATAGCGGAGACCAAATGGCCCATGTTCGTTCTGCTCAGAAAGGGTACAGAAACAAATGAAAGTGTTTGAACTGTATAAGTTTGAAATATAATATTCAAACAATTCAATTAAATCGTAACTGAATCTTTTAAAATTTTTATGCGACATAAAATTTCACATGCATTTTTTTTAAATCGACTGGACTAACTAAATTTTCAAGAATGCTTATAGTTTTACTATATTTTTTAAATAACGTTAAGATTTTATTTTGTGCTTCTGATGAAATTATGTCAAATAAACCAAAAACTGTATGATTTCTTTTTTGATTATACATATACAAAAAATGTCAGAGATAAGGCAAATTTGAAAGAAATAAAAACACTCAGTTCGTTAGTCAAGCTTTCGAGGAATACATACCCTTCATTGGGACTGAAAGTATTTCGAATAATTCAAACGTTCAATAAAACTAAACATATAGTACAATACTTAATGTTTACTTTGAAGAGTGGACGGGAACACTTCACCTGTCCATTACGACTGTCTTGGTACAAAATGTAATCTTGCAGAGTGTTGTAAATGTCTATATATGTTACAATTGAGGATTCTAATTTTATTCAAAATTGTCGAGTTTAGAAAAAAAAATTATCTTGATGTGATTGCTATGAGCCTTATTATTATAATTATATATACAAATGATCAAGAAAAAAATCAATTTGATAGAAAGAAAACACTCAATTCCTTCGTCAAACTTTCGAGGAATATGTCCTCTTCATCAGAACATTGAAACTATTTCTAATGAAGTGAATTTTATCACAACTAAACAATCCACTTTATGAACTAGTTAGGGAAATTTTTTCAGATAATTTTTTTTAACAATGTTAGCACACAGGCAAAAATATTTACGACAAAATATCNTTTCTAACTAAAAATTAATATTGGGATTTTAACAATGTTTTTGTGTATAATATATTAAAATTAAAAACGTTTTACCAAAAGTAAATGATCGTGTATTTTTTCGACATTAAGAATATTAAGCGAGAAGCAAATTTAAATAAATCAACGAAACAATAATATCAACCTTGATGTTACTGATATCAGCCTATATTTGTTTATAAAAATCACGGATAAGCCACTATGAAAGAAAGAAAACACTCAGTTCCTTCGTCAAGCTTTCGCGGAATATGCCCCCTTCATGATAACTTTGAAACTATTTCTAATGAAGTAAATTTTATGGATAGGAGTTTGCTTCACATCGTAACAGTACACTTTATGAACTAGTTAGGAAAATTGTTTCCGATAATTTTTTAAAATTTTAGCGATACAGACAAAAATATCTCTACGATAAAATATCCTATGAAAAGGATGCACTAATACAATGCTGTCTATCTAAAAATTAAGATTGGCGTTTCAACAATGTTTTTGTGTATAACATATAAAGTGAATTTTGTTTTACTTCATTTTTTTTATCTACAACTGTACATGTATTATATACAATCAGTAGAATGGATAATTTATTGTTTGTGGCAATACGAGCGTTATAGTGAAAGCTACCCATTGGCAGCCGCTCTAGATTAACAAAATGATATAAATCATTTAAGAGGTCTCTTATTCATATTCTTTTTAGACATATACGTGGTAATTGTGGGGAATAGAGTAATCGTATTTGTGTATTAGTGTGATTTTGCAATTTACTATGAAAACGTTAGTAATATGTTTTGATGGATGAAAAAACTGTTGGCATGTGAAGTGAATATAATACATTAAAATGAAAATTAACAACTTTTTTAGCAGAAATATCCGTGCATTTTTTCAATCGTAATAATATTAAGCGATAAATAAATTTTAATAAATCTAAGTAACAATAATAACAATCTTGATGTGATTGATATCAGCCTAAATTTGCTTATAAAAATCAGGGATAAGGCAATTTGAAAGAAAGAAAAACACTTAGCTCCTTCGACAAGTTTTCGGGGAATTTTTCCCCCTTAAAATTTTAAAACTATTTTTTAACAATTTACACGCTGATGCACTTGTAATCTCGAATTGACAAGTGGTAAATCTGAAGATAAACCCATAAATTCATTATGGTTGAAGGCATAATTTTTAATATTGTAAGTGCGTGTTTATATTTGTTAACTGTGTAAATCATTACAAATATTTCTGGTATATTTCTAAAGCTTGACTGCGAGAAGGAACTGAGTTTTTCTTTCTTTCAAATGCTCCTTTTCCCTGATTTTTACATACAGTCATAATAATAATTTATAGTAATTTTACAACAACGGAATATTATACCGTCTGTATGATAATATAACAATACTAATTACAAAAAAAAGTACAAGCTTTCTTCTTCCAAACACGACAACTGGTACTACACGAGACTGCATAATTTTTCAAATATTTGCACCAACGGGCCGGAATGGCAGAAAACCTGTTGTGGGTTTTTTCCAACTAGGGGCTCGTTTGGTAAACATAAACTATTAAAATTTTACTTCTGTTGGCGGTAACTTACGAAAAGCTGCGAACATCTATACAAAAATGTCAAAGAGGTGAAGTAATATGGTATTTATAGCGCGATTAGATTCAAATTCACGATATCTAACTTCGTTTTGTTTAATGGCTCACGGTAACAGGAAAAGCGTGAAACCATTTAAACAATTACGATGGCCTTAAACCCATGGGGAAAAAAAGCACAGCGGATACACACTACAAACCTTTTATTCAAAGCGGTCCTACGACAAATAGCATCGAATTACAACAAAAAATCACATCAATTCAAAATTTCAAACAAAAGTTCGTTTAAAACGCTGCACATAGTTTAAAACCCCTTTGCTACACAATATTTCCATGACGTTAGTCCCGGTGTTTTAAGATTTTTACAATCCCTGATTTGCATTTGTAAACCTTGGTCGCCTTCCTTTTCAAAAGGAAGAAAAGATAACTCGAAGGATAATAGTCAAGACAAGGCTGACTTTTTCGCATCACTGGCCAAAGAAAAGCGAATATACGAGTTATCGACCAACGAAAATTAATTGTTAGGTCGTATCATTAATGATGATCATTTACATATTTATAATATTGTCGTTTATTAACAAGTGTTAATGCTGTTTTTTCTGTACAGCCTTGATAAAGACCTAACGAAAGGTTGAAAGCTTGGTAGACTGATGACCATAATCCTGATACCTCCTATCACTCAATACGTTAAATTTCTCACGTCAATATTGATAGAATTCGTAGGATTAAAACGTATACATTCTTATTCACTTTTTCTAATCACTGGTAAACGTCGTGTGCGTGATTTTGAGTATCTGTGTGCTTGTTTTTCAGTTTTGAATTTATATATTTATTACGACTTTTTTCAGGTGGTGAAAGCCATGCAGGTGCATATTCAAGTGCATCCAGCTCTTCAGGTATTTATTCCAGTTTGTACTATAAAATTGATTTTATCCCTAATTTTAAGAAGTAATTTTCTATATATGTTTCATTTTTAAACGGTACAAAAACAGGTTAAAATATAATTATTTGTTTTTGTTACATAAGATTATGACAGAATGACCTGTTCTGGATTAAAAAATCCGATTAATATTCACAATTAATTAATCAATGATTAACTGAACTTGACTATCCTTGACCTTAATATTTGTTTATCAGTGATACTCTCACAGTTGTGTTTTCCCAACGTTTTGTAATAAATAACACTATCTAGATAATTGATAAAATTCAAAAGTAAAGGTCTAAATCCACAGGTGGGAATTTTGGTGGAGGAGTATTTGGAGAAGGGGGAGGACACCCATTTGGCACAGGATTTTCTGGGGGTGTTGGAAGTCCAGGATTCTTTCCAGGATTTAACTTTGGATCTCCCCCGGGTTGTCATTGCACACCACCGTTCGGCCAGGGGCTAGATGCTTTAGGGATGCAAAATGCCATACAACAACAAATCAAACAACTTCAAGATTATGCCCTACAGATGCACAATCAGATTGCTAAGTAAGTCGTTATTTTGTAGTTCAATTGCTGTAGTGCAGGAGATTCAACAAGTTAATTTTTTTAGTTCCATTCCATCTGGAGGTGGTGGTGGTGGTGTCTACAGTAGAGGCAGTACCGGTGGCTTTAGTGCAGGACCTGGTGGTGGCTATGGTGGAGGCCCTGGTAGCTTTCATGGAGGCCCTGGTGGCTTTCATGGAGGCCCTGGTGGCTTTAATGGAGGTACTGGTGGTGGCTTTACTGGAGGCAACGGTGCTGCCAGTTCCAGTGCTAATTCAGGAGCAAACAGTTATGCTAGGGGCTATGATGGTTATTCCCCAAGTGGTGGCCAAGGTACTTCATTTACCGGACAAGGAAGCCATGGAGGCTATGGAGGAGCAGGGGGTGGAGGTAGTGGTGCTGGCCATTCAGGATTAGGTGGTCACTCAGGTTCAGGCGGTCACTCAGGGTTCGGAAGTGCTAGCGCTGGAGCATATGGTAGTGACGGTTCACCTGGAGGATATCAAGGAACTGGTACTGGGCTTGATGTTAGGTTCGGTTCTCCTGCAGATGAAGGGGCCTCCGTTGGAGGAGGTGGTGGGGGATTTGTGGGAATTTCTTCTTCATCACGTTCCAGCTCTTCGACAGTAGATGGAAAAACTCAGACCCACAAGGAAGCATCAGTGACTGTCAATGATAATGGCAAAGTCACAACATTCCATTCACCTTGAATTTTTCGTAATGCATTAAATTATATGTAAAAATATTAATATGAAATGTGATCTTTAGAGTATTAGTATAAAATGTGTATTTTAATGAAGAAATTAATTCATTTTTCGTACTTTTATTGCAATTTATCTTATTTTTTATGTAAAAAATATAAATGAATTAATCTATGAAAATTTATATTAAAAATTGATTCCTCATGATGGTTTTCATTGGTATTAAATTGAATGAATACCACACCTTCTTCTCTTTTTCAAAGAAAACATTGATCCTAACGTTTTTAGTTGAGATAAAAAAGTCAATGGCACGAGCAGGATTCGAACCCATGTCCTTCGGCTAGATACGCCGCTGCTCTACCACTTGAGCTATCGTGACCTCGATCCACTCGGACACTAACTTCCCTTCTCAACCCCACCTTTTGAATTTTCCCTCCTTTTTGCCATTTTTCAAATGTCGTGTAATCGGATTGGATTCTCGGCGACAAATGAAATGGCTACGGAGAGCTTTAGTGAAGTATACTTCATTTTTAAATCATTAAATTCACTAATTTCGAAATTAGTGAATTTATTGATCCTAACGTTTTTCTGAGCAGTATTAAGTTAAAAGTAATCAATGGGAACAAAGGCATTTTAAAGAACATTTTTATGAGTGTCTTATTTCAAATTTATTTCATTTAAAAAAATAAATTACATTTATAATATAATAAAAATATACATATATTCAATAATTTCAAATTTACAAAAAAAATTTAAATATTACATTCTAGTATGTATAATTCATATGTATAATGACACACATGTTTCTTGGATGTAGGTGTTATAATCATATATTCATAAGGCAGAGACTTCTTTTCACTATAATTCATATGTTGTAAAGTAATATTATAAATTTTAAAAAAAGTTTAAATTTAAGTGAAGACATAATTTAATATAATATATCCTAATTTGCCACATCTAAAAATTTATTTTCTGAAAACACTATCACATATATTTTACTAAAAGTAATTTTTACAAAACAAAAATTACGTTTTAAAAAATATATAATCGCAGATCCACCTAAGATGGTAAAAAAAAGATAAGATTGGCGGTATAAGAAGAAAAAAAATATTTCTGCAGGCACTAGTTACAACTCTGGAAAATTTTAATTTGAATTAAAAATTTTCGGAGCATTTCAGACAAAATAAGAGCTGTATTCATGTGGCATGACACCTCGTCTTGGGTAGAATACATGTTTGACTGAATGTTGCAACAGGTTTGTGACACTGGATGTGTATATGTCGGCAAATCTGAACAGACGTCTTGAGAAATAAGTCGGGTTGTGGTAGGTCCTGAAAACACTCCCAAACTGTTCGTTGAACACTTTCTTTATATCTTGTCTGAAAATAGTAATAAACTGAAAAATTAATTGCCAGGTCAGGAGGTATTTGAAGTAGTACCTGATCTTGTCTCTTTCTTGCATCCAAGAACCAAGAATCTGTCCTGCCTCAGGATCATCACTGTCTTGATGCTCTTCAATCAACTGAGTCAGCATTTGAAGCCAGTTGCAATTCTTCTTGAAGTCTTCCTTGTTCAAAGTTTTAATTTCATGCTGGAAAATTGAATTTTGAGCATCGTTCCATCATCAGTTGTAATAACAGATTGTCATTCTGTCAATAATATTTTTTTAAAAATTAATTGATTTCAACAGGAGGGCTTAATGAGCAATTATTCATTGAGTGTGGCATACAAGGGGTCCATCTGCTTTACAATACCTTTTATCAATTATTACCAATTAAAATTCCATTGGCTGTGCCAGGATTTGGACCAGAACTCCTAATGTGGTAAATAAGCCTAGGACGCTCTAACCGCTTCATCACCACAGCCTCATCCTGAGTATCTCCCAATTAACTTTTTTAAATACACAGAAAATTCTTTCAAGTTTTTAATAATATTAATTGTCAAAATGACATAAAAAGTTTGTTATCTATAAGATACCAATGTTTGAAACATTTTGGTAAGGTGTTCATTGCAAAACTTATTTCCTAGATGGATGTTCAATTTTTCTTTTAACTTGAATTTTTCTGAGTGCAATTTTGAAATCTACAAATTTGAAACTACATCTAGTGCACATACTTGTGCCTATTTATATTGTAGATAGTCAGCTGCTAATATAGCCTCGTTCTTATACTTTTTGTAGATTTTTGGATTCAATAAGAATTTTTATAGAAAAATATATATACATATATATATTTTTTTTTTGTAATTAAATGGTAATTATGGTATTTTATCATATTTTTGTTGATTTATAATTTTTGATTACCATTAATTCCTGGATTATGGCACCAGTTCTCCAGCCATGTTCGAGAGTGACATCAGCTAAATCACTATAAGGATGGTCTCCAAAGTAAAGAACTTCACTTCCCTTCCATTCAGTCAGTTCTTGCATCTGTCGCAATGACCCCTGAACAAAGAGACATTAAGAAAAGTGCAAGCAAATAAATAATAATAATCACACCTACTTCATAATAAATTACACCTTTTTCAATCTTGGAAACTTTATTCCAATAATGAGTATTGACTGTTTTATCATATATCCTCAAAGGGCAGGTATCATCTGAGAAAAACAGAGGTTTCCTAGCTTGGACGATTATAAGGTCAAAAAACTCTTCCCATGATGGGCCGACCATATATGACATGCCTCGATTTCTACATAAAATAAAATGATCATTATGAAAATATTACATTTTACTAGTTGTATATTTACACGAATTGATAAGGGCTGTTTGTAATGAGAAAAAGTTTTTTTCCAGCACTGACGAGCCTGTGAAACAATTCTTTCAGCCCAGGATTTAGATCCAAATACTTTCCTACATCTTGTTGGACTAGTTGATGCATAAGGAGATGGCAAGAGCTAAAAGATTTCTATATACATAAGAAATAACAAGGTTTTAGACCATGATCTTTAGAATTTTTTTTTAAACAACTTATACCTTTATGTCCCTAAACAGTATGTCAGGATGGTAGTCCATTTTATTCCTTTGAAAATATTCAGTAACATTGCACAACAAGCACATTTCAGGCACAGAAAATAAGTCGGCTAGTTGTACCATTTTTGTTGAAAAATACTATAAAAGAAACCACAATAAACATAAGAATACAATTTTTTTAAGTTAGTTGTTAGTTATTTTTTTTAATAAGTGTAATTTGAACAAGCAGCCAAAACATTAAATTGTAAATGCATAACCAAAAGCCAGGCAATTAAGCATATAAAAAACCATCCATATAATAAAATTGTGTGATCAATAAATAAAATAGGTTTTGGATGTAACAAGTGCATATCGATATTATTTAAAAATTAGTTTGTTAAGTCAAGAACAGTGTGGGAGAATAAAATCACCTTTTCAAAAACAACTTTGAATAGCGTTGGGATCCTTATCAGGTATTATGCTAAAAACAAATGAAAAAACAAACTACAATTAGTAACATACAAAACATAACATTAGAATGAAGACCAAAAAACTGAACTTTCTGTCAAAAATATAAGTTAGGTTAAAAAAAAGTAATGACAAAAAAGCTCCCACTGGTTTTAAATATATTTTAAAGTTTAAATGTATAAAGTACAAGAGTGGAAAAAAAAAACGAAAAATGGTTTGGGATGGTATTACAAAGTTAGAGTTTCGATCGCACATGCACACAAATGAGCTAAAAATCCATGCGTTCATTACCTTCATCTATTGTTGCAACGTCCACCATTCGCCAGCCAGTGATATAAATTAAAGAAAGGAAAAAATCAAACAAATTTTAGAAAATCAATTAAAAGTAATTGTATGCTGTCACAATTTAAATATCTAAGTGCTCTAGTCATTCAAAGATCAGGGTTTATTTGGTTTTAGGTACTAAATTAAATATGCAAACATGCATAATTTTTGTTTAAATATTAAAGAAATTGTAATAATTAATGCAAAATAGTACTATTTTGTTCTAACTTGCAAACTATAATTCTAAACGACTTTAAGTCGATAGTGCCATACTTTGACTTGTAGCCACCCAGATGTTTGCCTATTTCATTTGGTGTTGTATATATATTTTCTTTTCTTTTTTGGTGTTCTATTGGTTTGATTGTCAGGAAACTGAAGAACCTACCTTGTGCTGAACGGTACTCTGTTGTTCTGTGTTCTTGGTTTGTGAACCCTTTATAGCAATATTGCTTGGCTCAGGTGTTGTCTGCTTCATGCAATAAAAAAAATCAAAATATGCATGATGTAAATCCAGCATGGGATAGAAGAAAAAATAGAAGTCAATTGTAAATTTACTGAATATAATTTTAACAGTAATTATAGTTAGGATTGACTTGTACTGTGTATTCCAATAACAAAATAAATAAATGAAATAAAATTAAATGTATGTAAATTTTTTGTTTATTAAAAATTAGAGCGTTATTATTATTATTATTCTTTTTTTTAAATATGAAACAACGGGATGGCTAACCAAGTCAATCGAAACCTGTGATCTAACTAGTTATAGAAAACCTAGTCTTTATCTACGAATTAACTATCATTATTAATATTTGTTAGTTCAAAAATACGGTATTGAAAGTATAATAATTGTTAATGTAAGCTTTCATGAATTCAACATATGCAATTTTACAGTGAAAAATTCAATTAACCTGAGAAGTCCGATTCTCGACATAAGCAAGGGGAACTGTTTTGTTCATGTATATCTTCATGACTTCGGCATCAGGGACCGGTGAGAGGCCGCGGTAAACAGTACCAAGCTGAATTTGAAGGAACGAGTCTAACTTCATCAAGAGACCCTTTTCAATGTCGTAATGGAGACCTCGAATGGCAAAGGAGGGTAGATATTCCATTTCTCCAATTCCTTTGGGGTACTGGAAAATAAAATAAAAAACGATTGTGCAACAGTCCATAAATCAAAAGCTCAAAGTATGAGAGAATTTGGAAATAATCCAACTGTTGATGATACAAATATTTTTTTAACCTTCAGTAGGTCACCTTTGACAGATTAAATTAAAACTGTTGCATAATTTATTTTTTGGCAACACCTCCTATTATTTATTTTTAAAACTGTATTATTCTTAATTTAGACTGATTTTGTTGTTATAAATATCAAAGGTCGAATATCACATTATTTTATATGCTTTTACAAATCACAAACAAACATATATATGACCTATTAATTAGATCATATCTCAACATAATATCTATTTAAATAAATAGATACAAAGCCGGTTTAAATTGTTCTTTTAAAGAGTGATTGTATAGCAGATAAGTTGTGTAATGTTTGTTGTCATCCGATGTGTAAGGAGGCAATCAATGAGAATAGTATTAAGGCTGGCAGTAATTCTCTTGGCCTAACTGGATGAGATTACTGTCTGAAGCCTGAAGAGAACATTGAATAACAAGCAACCGCTTTCTTTCTTTTTTCTCTCGTTATCTTATTTTATTGCTTTTTCATTTGGTTCATTTTATGTAATATAATTTTCATAAAAACACAGACATCTCAATTGTCAGAATATTTTTTATTTTGTAAGGAATAGTTATTATTTATTGTATTAAATGGTATGTAATATAATAATATTAATATATAATAATAGAAAACAATATTTCAGAATTAACATTAATTACATAGTTTAAATTAAAATTGATTAAAACTCAGATAAATCTTTATATATTTGAAATAATCTGAGATGCAAAAATGTACGTCCTTTCAACCACATTTTTTAAAGAAAGCATTATAAAAATTGTTATGTGCTGAAGAAAGCCCTCTAAATTACAATTGGGAACTTAAAATAATTTCAACTTTAATATTTCTTAAATTTATTTATATCAAATTAGTACTACTGAATATTTATAATTTATCAGAAACTGAATTTATTTTTATTATGTATTACCAAACTTGTATTTACGGATAAATAATGGGGCGTCGGTGGCCGCAATGGTTTAGGCATTGATACAGTACCCATCACTGCAAGGTAAAGACCCCCAGGTTCGAACCCAACATACTTACAAATGGGCTTTTTTTCAAAAACATATAACATACAGTTGACATAGCCTCATACAATTCAACAATTGAAATGCCTAGCCAGAGGCCTTAACTGATCTTTTGACTCTACACTTCGTTTCAAAGGTTTTATGGTAATTTAGTTCTCAGGGGAATGTCATAAGTGTGCATTACTAAACGCATAAACTTAAAGTCTTAAAAGCCAAGTATTTGTTAATTTGATATTAATTATTGGTGTGAATTAGTTAATAATTAATTAGCTTGTGGTGTAAAAAATGTGGTTAAAAATATATACATGTATATACTAAAAAATACAACAGGATGACATGCACTTCTTACAAATCATCACCTATGACCAACCCATTCAAATAGACCTTCAAAACTGGGTTGCACTTGTGCAAATCAGAGATGGGAAACATATTAACTTGCCAGATTTTGAGGATCACAAACTGAAATGACTCAGAATCGCTCAAAAAGAAAAAACAAGGTACATCAACCAACTAATCGGGAAATAGTTACAAGAGTTAAAATAGTTACTTGACATTTAAATAATTCCCTGAAATTGAATATTGGGCAAAAGCAAACTGGGAGTTTCCTGATTATAACTTTTACTCCCAAACAATTGGCCACAAGACTTATTTGAAAAAGGATCAAAATTATCACTTAAAAGATATAATAAACTGAAAATAGGATGTAATTTCCATGATTTATAAATATAAAAAAATATAAAAAATAAGATAAAATTTATATGTTCTTTTATTATTTGACAATATCAGCTGGTTCAGAGTAATGTACATCAATTTTATTCTCATATATACCACAGGCTTTTCAAGCACCCTTTTTTCTACATTAAAACAGATATCTAAGATTTATTTTTAAATAAATTTATTTACAATATACACAATGGATCTCTTGTTTATTATCATGAACTCATCTGGTCGTAAACATTACCCTACCTAATGGCAAACGCTTCTTTGATAAACCAAACAATAGGAACCAGGGGGCAGATAAAGTAAAAATATGTAAAAATTTGTCATAAATTATTAATGAGCGATTCAAAGTTAGAAAAATAGATTTGGGTAAACAAACATAAAACTATTGTGAAAGAAGAAATTGTTCATTTATTCAACCTCTTAACCCTAAAACCTTTGCTCTAATTAAGTGTACCTATTGATAAAAATACAAATGATACAAGTATTGTTTTATGGTGTGATTTCTTGTTGAGGACTGCTGCAATTCCTCCATAATCTGGTGTCTGTGCATTTCCACAGGAGATAGGTACATTTAACAGACTACCCTCTTTTGCGCCACTCTTTGCAAACTATCAACCATCTCATTATTTTTTATTCCTGAATGTCCTCTAACAGAAATAAATCGTCGCTTCATTTCTCTTTTCATAGTCTCTAAATTGTTAACAATTTGTCCTGCAATATAGTTGCTGCCTGATTTTATCCCTAAGTTTCTAATACTGTCCAGTGCGCTTCCAGAGTCCGACAAAATACACAACTTTTCCGACATTGGGTTCACTTCTTGAAAGTATTGTAACATTTTTAGAATAACCACTAGTTCTGCTGTGTCATTTTTGAGGGGAGTTTGAATTTTTCCAAATTTTAATTGAGGGTCATACAATGCGCAGCCTACCATATATAAGACCTTTATTGCCCCATCTGTAAATATGCTTTAAGATTTTTTTTTTCAATCTTACAAAATTTATACCAAGAAACTTTTTGGTATGTTCAATTTCTCAAGATATTTGTGTCAGATCAGTTAATCAAAAAGAACGTTTGTACAGCAATGTTTCAGTTCGTTCAAAATGTCAACAAGTAGAAGCCTATACTCTCCCTCTTTTTTTTTGCCATTTTCAAGATATTTATAGGATGAGATGAGGAGTTGGTGTCCGAAAGGATCGAAGTCATGATAGCACAAGCGGTTAGAGCAGTGGCCTTATTGAGCCGAAGGTCGTGGGTTGGAATCCTGCTCGTGACACTAATTTTTCATCTCAACCAAAAACCTTAGATAAAAAGAATAATTGGAATAAGTTATAACCACTAAACAAATAATTAAACACACTTATCAATTAAAAGAGGAACGTGCATTTAGAGTTGTATTAAGAAATCTTCATCCTCCATCCCGCCAGATGAAATAGAAAAAGAAGTAGAAGAACTTGATTTCAAAGTCCGAAATATAACCAACATCCAATCTGTGCAAAAATCAAACTGCCGCTTTTCTTTTTGGACCTCAAACCTTCACCAAATAATCAGGATATATTTATGATTACCCATCTCTATGGTTGTTGTATACGAGTAGAAGAACCGTTCATAAATAAAAAAATTTCGCAATGTAAGCGCTGTCCGAATTACGGACACACCAGATCATATTGCAACCATGCACCACAGTGAGTGAAATGCGCATGGTATCATTGGAGCGAAAATTGTACTAAATCAAAAGAAACTCCAGCTGTTTGCTCGCTTTGCAATGGTAATCATCCAGCCAACTACAGAGGATGCATCATGACACACAAAGATTTACAAAGGCTAAGAAGACAGAATTCCTCCGAATCAAGACACCAGTCTAGTACTCCTCCACCTCCTCCACCACCACCACCACCACAGCAAGTAAGGTCTGATCGCGCTCGTCGAAACAGTGCTAGCTACACCCAAGCCGTCCAAGGACCAACTCAGTCACAACTACAGCCGAACCCAATTCCTTCTTTCATCCCTCTTCCCACTTCTTCAGACCTCACTTCAATAATGTCCACCTTTATCAATGAATTCTGCTCTCTCATCAGCCCTCTAATCTCTCTTCTTACAACCATCGTTGAGAAGCTTGTCTCACCCGTTTCGCAAACAGACCCTTAATGCCATCTCATCACCCTGTAACTCTCCTCTTATGGAATGCAAACGGCTTGAACTCCCGCTTTGTCACAAAATTGTTGCTGATTTTTATAAATGTGTTTTACAGTTGCTTAGGAAAAACTTCTTTCATATTACTTAGTACGAATTTCATTTTACGGACTAAATTGTTTAGCTTTCAAACGCAGTTATTTATTTGGATGTGGAGTATATCTTTTTGATACTTATTGACAAGTTTGCATGTTGTAATATTGAAAGGACTATCTCTGTGTTCTATGCAGGTGTACGCCTTTTTTAGGCTGTTGGCGATAAAAGACGCCATGCGTTTTGTATTTTAGAAGGAGCCACCTCCGGGATTTACAATTAGCTAGTTTTCATCTATAGACATTAATTCTTTGAACTGTGTATGGGGTAAAGATCCATAAACTTGTACAATATTGCTTAAAATGACCATGACGTTTGTTACCTTATGAAGTTTCTGTTTCCAAATAGGAACTGAAAAAAACCGTTACGGCAATTTTCATAGGTTTTTTGGAGTTCGGATGGCAGATTCGTTACGTGACAAAATATGTAATTAATTACTAATCCACTTACGTTTTAGTGGTCAATTGACCAAGTTACTTCTTTCAATTAATTATTCTTTTTATGTAAGGTTTTGGTTGAGATAAAAAGTCAATATATGCCATTAATGTTGTTGAACTTTATTTATTTATTTTTATTTTTTTCTCCAAAGAGCCGTAGTAACCAACCAATTATTGCAATATGAAAGACGTGGAATGGAATCGATGTTTAAACGCCCATACTTTTTCCAACCAATTCATTTGATGAAATTGGAATCCCTCAACTAAGGCCTGCTTCCTTGACTAGACTATATAGGTCAATTCCCACCAATTACTCGTCCCCAATTGAATCGAAAAAAGTGGTTTGCACTGATGAACAAAAATAGCGAATTTTCTCTCCATCACTCTAAAATTGATATCTAAAAATTATTGTATAAATTTGTATTAAAAATCAA